TATAGGACCATCCAAAGAGTTCCTTTTTTTTTTTTTTTCAGGAAGATAGAATTTTTTACATTTTTTGTAAATTTTATTTAAGGTATACAGATTTCATTTATTTCATGTATACAGATTCAGGAACATAATGAACTTCTCACCTTACCTTCCCTCCTGCCCATGATCCCACCCTTCTTCCTCTTCCCTCTCATATTCCCAATCTTATTTTTTCCAAAGATCTATTTTTGGTGAACTTTGTACTCATAAGATTAACCCTCCACTAAGTAAAGAGTTCAAAAAATAGTGTATTAAAAAAAAAAACAAAAAACAAACAAAAAAAAAAAACAAAAAAAAAAACCTCTGTTCCTCAACAGTTAAGAGCTGTGCAAAACAACCACATCTCAAAGTATCAATTTCACTCCTATAGATCATATTTTAAGTACTCTATTAATTACCACATAGTAGGGAAAACATGTTTGTCTTTTGGGGACTGGCTTATTTCACAAGTATAGTGGATCCCAGTTGCACCCTTTTCATGTAAAAGACAAGATTTCATTCTCTTTTTTTACTGCAGAGTACTACTCCATAGTGTATATATGCCAAATTTTCTTTAGTCATTGGTCAATGAGTATCTGAGTTGATTCCATATCTTAGCTATTGTGAATTGAGCTGTAACAAACATGAGGGTACAAATCACTCTTGCAAATGCTGATTTCATTTCCCTTGGGTAAATTCCCAGGGTGGAATGGCTAGGTCAAATGGTGGATCTATATTCAGACTTCTGAGGTATCGCCTCCATACTGTCTTCCACAATGGCTGTATTAGTTTACATTCCCACAAAGTGGATTAGGGTACTTTTCCCCCACATCCTCACCAGCATTTCTTGTTTGTTGATTTCTATATGAGAGCCATTCTAACTGGGGTAAGGTAAAACTGTATTATGGTTTTGATTTGCATTTCCCTGATGGCTAGTGATCCTGAGCATTTTTTCATGTGTCTGTTGGCCATTTGAATTTCCTCTCCAGAAAAATGCCTTTTCAAGTCCTTTGCCCATTTCCTAGCTGGATTATTTGTTTCCTTGTTGTTGAATTTCTTGAGCTCTTTATAGATTCTAATCCTTTATCAGTTGCATAGTTTGCAAATATCTTCTCCCATTCATTGGTTGCCTCTTCACTTTGTTGTGTTTCTTTTGCACTGCAAAAGCTTCTCAACTTGATGTATTCCATTTGTCTCATTTTACTTTGATGGCCTGTGCTTCCAGGGTCTTTTCCAAGAAGTCTTTGCCTATGCCAATGTCTTGCCAAATTTCCCCAATGTTCTCCTCTAGTAATTTAATGATACCAGGTTGTAGGTATAGATCCTTGATCCATTTTGAGTTGATTTTTCCATAAGGTTTAAGTTAGGGGACCTGTTTCACACTTCTACATGTGAAAACCCACTTTTCCCAACACCATTTGTTGAAGAAACTTTCCTTGCTCCAGGGATTGATTTTAGCTCCTTTGTCAAAGACAAATTGGTTGTAGATGCATGGATTGATTTTTGGGGTTTCTATTCTGTTCCATTGGGTCTACCCTTTTTTTTCTTTTGACAGCACCAAGCTGTGGTTAAAACTTTAGAAGTATATTGAATAGCAATGTTGCAAATGGGCCCTTATCTGGTTTCAGATCTTATTGAAAATAATTCCGACTTTTCCCATTCAATATGATGCTGACTGTGGATCTGTCATATATTGCCTTGATTGTGTTAAGAAATGTTCCTTCTACCCTCAGTATGCTTAACGTTTTTATCATGAAAGGATGTTGTATTTTATCAGATGTTTTTCCTGCATCTATTGAGATAATCATAGTTTTTATTCTTCAATTTGTATACTTTGACATGTCACCTTTATTGATTTGCATATGTTGAACCATCCCTGCATTACAGGACTGAATCCCATTTGGTCCAGGTGATCTTTCTGATGTGTTGCTGAATTTGATTATCTAGTATTTTGTTGAGGATTTTGCATCTATGTTCATCAGTGATATCTATCGGTCTATAATTCTTTGTTGTGTCTTTTTGTGGTTTAGGAATTAAGGTATACTGGCCTCATAGAAGGAGTTCATGAGGATTCTTCCCTTTTCAATTGTTATTGAATAGTTTGAGGAAAATTAGAATTAGTTCTTTAAATGTCTGGAATTCAGCAGTAAAGCTGTCTAGTCCTGGGCTTTTCTTTGTTGGGAGGGTCTTTACTAGGTTTTCTGTCTTCATGTCTCAATTTTGTTATGTGTCCATTTCTTATAGATTTTCCAATTTGTTAGCAGATAGGTGTTTGTAGTAATTCCTGATGATTCCTTTTATTTCTATTACCCATTGTTACATATCCTATTTCATCTCTGATTTCATTGATTTTTTTTTTTTTTTTTTGGTTAGTTGGGCCAATGGTGCATCAATTTTTTTTTTTTTCCAGAAAACTAGCTCTTCATTTCACTGGCCTTCTTTACTGTTTTTCATTTTTATTCTCTGATCTTAATTATTTCTTTCCTCCTAATTTTGGGTTTGATTTGTTTTTATTTTTCTAAGTCCTTGAGATGCACTGATAGCTCATGTATTTGATTATCTTCCCAATTTCTTGATGCAGGCACCAGTTGCTGTATACTTCCCTCTTAAAACTGCTTTTTCTGTATCCCATAAGTTTTGATATGGTTGTATTGTCATCTTCAGTCATTTTAAAGTATCATTCTTATGAATACATTTTGTCAAATAGCAAAACAGACTGTTTTTATGATCATGATTTGTTATACCTTGATTTTCTTTCTCAGTTTACTACTTGATATACTTAGGTACTAAACTGTACTTATTATTACAGTTGTATTTCTGTTGCTTACCTTAGATTTTCTCAAAATGAGAAAAACCTGCTTTGAAAATATAAGTAATAAAAATATGAAGACTGACAGTCATTGGAGGATGGAAAATATTAGTGCTTTACCTGATTTGCTAACCTGAAAAACAAATTCTTGAGGTTATTCAGATCCTTAATCCAATGATAGTAACAATCCATATAAATATTTTCAAACATTAGTTAAAATTTCTTGTAGAAATGAAAATACATTTTACTTCACTTGTCACATATCAAGCTGTGATTTACTTTAAACACCTCCCTATTATTCCCATTTGTTTTGGCTTTGTATGATACACCATTTTTGATGGGCACTTAGCTACCTTGTAATATTTCATTTTTTCTAGTATCTGTTTATACAAACTGAAATCAGGTCAGTGGAACTGGGACTGCTTTTCTGGGGAAAACCAGTGAGAATAGCAGTGTTAAAACATGACCTACAGATTTAGCTTACTATAGGGCAAAGTTGCAATAGGGCTGAAGTTGCAAGGAGCAATCAAAAACTGTTACTGAAGTCTGGATGCTGCCATTTCTCAAATCTACCAAGTCAAGTCATTTAAATAGTAGACATCTCAGTATTCTCATTACTAGTAACAAAGTTAAAGACTTATATCTGAGATAGCATAGGAGTGGTACACTGGAACTAAACTAACCACAGCTAAATGTTAACAATGTATAGTGATATTGAATAGTTTATATAAACAGTCTGGTGATTACATATATGGTGAACTAACTTTTGGACTCAAGTTTCTGTGATTGTTAAGAAGTAGTGCTCCATCAATATATACTGATCAGCTACTGTGTATTCAGCACTGAGCTTATTGCCAGAGAATTAAGAAAGCTAACACTCCTTTCCTTCAGATCTCGAAAGGATTCCCAAGACTATGAGATAAAATAATAGTGGAGGGGCAGGCATTTAATCTAGATGTTTCTATACCACATAGGAGTACCTGGTTTCAGTTTCACACTCTGTCTTCAGACTCCAGCTTCCTGACAATAACGGCAGACTCTGGGAGGCAGGGGTAATCACTCAAATATTTGTTTCTGCCACATATGTGGGAGACTTGTATAGCTTTGACCCCAGCCCAGCCCCAACCTTGGGACACATTTTCAGGAGTTAACCAATGATGAGAGCACACATATTCTCTCTGCCACTCAAATTTAAATACAGTGGAGAACAGAGCAGTTGACAGTCAAGAGCAATATACTTTACTAAACATGCTTAGAGATGTTCTGAGATTTGAATCAGGCCTTGAAGCATTAATAGGTTTGGTTAACAGAGCAGGAGGCAGGGCACCCTAGGTGGCGAACAACAGTCTGTGCTCATTAGGCTTATGAAAGAAGACATCAATCTGCCCAGAACAGAGAGTATACATTAGAGAATAATGTTGAAGAGATCTGATCAACTTAATAAAAATCCAATCAAGGTAAAAACTTCCAGCGGTGTAAAAATACTTTGAAATAAACACACAGAATAAGTATCCTATGGATACCACATGGGTTCTTCTGGTAAGCTGGCCACCATGTGACGTAAACAAATTGATGCTTTTCCACCATCAAAACTGAAATATTTTTCTTCTATTGATGATTTATCAGAGAGCTAGTAGACAAGCTATAATGGAAAGAACAAAAGCTGCATTCCAATTATGTGACCTCAGGTATATTTATACTTATGTCTTAGAGACTCACTTTTATATATTATCAGTTATTGTAAATATACCAACTTTGCTTGGTGGTTGGTTAATTCAAATCAGTCAACACATGTGAATGCCTGGAACATACTACGCAATTCAACAAATGTTAATTCCTTCTTTTCACAAAGTGGTTCTGACCTGAAGACATCATAAAACAAGTTAAAAGTGTTGAACTCTTCCAGGCTCAGTAGCCTAAATAATGTCCTTTCTGAGTATAATTATGTAATCCACATAGGTAAAGTTTTTGTCCAGTGACCTCTCAAGTTTCCTTGATTACATGTGGCACTGTTCATTGTATTTAGAAGGAGGCAGAAGAAAAAACTCTCATACTTGCAGGCCAGTAAATGCTTTAATACTTAGAGGTCCAAACAGCAATACTGGATTTTCTAAGGTTGATAATTTCTTAGAAATTAAAGTAAAACTAAAATGCCCTACACTTTTTTTTTTTCCAGCTTGCTACAAATGAAAACTGATGAGAAACTGAATTTGTCTGATGGGACTACAGCAAGTTGCCCTTTGAGCCCCATTAAGATGTGCCTTAATCGTCCCATTGAATGGAATCTGAATTTGACAGCAACATCTCTCACAAGCTGTACAGTTCATAACCAAAATCTCAAAAGTGAAGAGAAATAGATTGCAGTTCTTGCACTATCCTTATTTTGTACATCAATAATTCTGCTGACAATGAGCATTTATCAGTTGATCTTTAAAATATTTCTAGCCCCGTGATTTGTCTTTATATAGAAAATCATTAGCATTAATCATTGATTATTTTTTTACATGTTTTACACCAGATCATTGTGGAATTTTGCAGTACAGACTTTGATGTTTCTCTTTTTAATGGTATTTTGTGAATTTTTTATGCCCTAAGTTTAAATACATAAGTGTCTAAGTTTTATTTCTGTGCATAAAGTTTTAATATATAACATTATGTGATTTAGAAAGCTAGTATTGTAAAGATTTGTGATGATGATCTGACCTACGAACAGTTGTGTAACAGGTGGATACCAACTACCTCGAAGCAAATTGGTAAAAGAAAAGGCAAGGTATTTCTTGGAAGTAATTTCACTTTCAAAGTTACATATGTATAGAAAAATAATTGATCATACTTTGTCATTCAATAGCATGTTTCCATTCATAGGAGAATTTGAGCTGATCAGTTCTTTCTCTGTATTTTAAACCTATAGTCTGTGGGCTGTAAGCTATGGCACAATTGCATGTTTACTCTTCTGCAAATCTGTGCCTCATGGTAGACAAAATACTGTTTGGTTTCTGTAAATTACCAGTTTTGAATGAAAAATGGTAAATGGATTTACATCTGTTGGTTTTATTGTATTTTAGCCATTTCTTCAAAAGCTTATAAAGAGATGTCTTTTAAAAGCAGGGTAATATTCCTTCCTACCTTTCATTGATGTGAAGCATAACTTCAGCCATGGCTACATGATTGTCTAAAATTTGATCAAAATACTGAAGGTTTGGTGCTTAAAATTTATTTTTCCCATGCCAGAGACAACAAGCTTTGGTATGGTGGTCAATATAAGAATATAGCTCCTTTACCTTTATGGCCATGTGTTAGTGGAATTTTTAGTTTATTGTGTTTCTGAAGACTTGTCCTCAGAACACAATTTATATACCATTTCAGTCCTTTTCCTCCTACTCCTTCCCCAATTATTTTTTAAATGACAGGGACTTATGAAGACTCTTAAAGAATTTGAAGCACAGAAAAAGAGCCAACAGAATGAAGAACAATCATCCATTTTTCATTGCTATCTTTAACATATCTACCTTTTCATTTAATAAGCATTCTTGCTTTGTAATTTTGACTTTTATTTCTAAGTCTGTGAAGCACATGTTATTTAACATAGCGATTTGATTCTAAAAACCAATGATTTTACTTAAGCTCTATCTTAGAACATCACCTTAAATAAATGGCCTCTGGTAAGTAAACTTTAAAAAGCACAATTATTATTAAAAAAGATCATGTTAACAAATTTCTATTCTGAATAATAAAAATTATCAGAGGAATAAGAAAAAGGTGTTTTGTTGGGTGTTGCAGAAAGAAGACCAGTTTCATACAGTGTTTCATCAGACAAGTACCAATTTCAAAAGATAAATAAAATTAACAGTGAAAAACTAGTGCTCATAAATTAGTATATAAAGACTTCCTGTCAGTTGCTGCCAATATAAAATATTTTTTGTTGTGCCAAAAACACAGAAAACAGTTTCACAATTAATATATATGTGAAGATCTCACTAACCCAAGAAACATTCTCAAATAAGAACTCCCATGTGCAAAATACTTTAGGAAGTGAGATTACCCAATGAGGTAGCATTATCACAAATATTTTTTTATATACAATCACAAAACTGTTAACTGTGGAACTTGCAAGGTTTGTTGTACTGGTCCTCCTCACTGGTGGTAAGTTCATCCTACCAGTTTGTGGTATTTCATTTACCCTTGAAATGTCAGGGTTTTTTTGTTTGTTTGTTTGTTTGTTTGTTTTTGCAGGCAGAGTGGACAGTGAGAGAGAGAGAGACAGAGAGAAAGGTCTTCCTTTGTCGTTGGTTCACCCTCCAATGGTCGCCACGGCCGGCGCGCTGCGGCTGGCGCACCGCACTGATCCGATGGCAGGAGCCAGGTACTTATTCTGGTCTCCCATGGGGTGCAGGGCCCAAGCACTTGGGTCATCCTCCACTGCACTCCCTGGCCACAGCAGAAAGCTGGCCTGGAAGAGGGGCAACCGGGACAGAATCCGGCGCCCCAACCGGGACTAGAACTTGGTGTGCCGGCGCCGCAAGGCGGAGGATTAGCCTAGTGAGCCGTGGCACCGGCCGAAATGTCAGTTATTTAAGATGTTCTGAGACACTTTGATCTGTATTGGGTCTGCTCCATCTGAGTCATGAGCTTCTCAAATGCAAGCTACAAGCTAGTTACACTTCCAAATTCCCCATAATACTGTGGCTTTACTTAATAGTCCGTAAGAATCACCTGAGAACATATAAAAAGCAGATCTCTGGGACCTCAGATTCTGATACATCTGTGACACTGATGCAGTTGGTCTCTATATCACAAATGAATGTCCTTGTGCTTTATTACAAGTGACAGTAATTTGGGGCTGTACAACGAAGTTATGTGGCATCATACAGTGAGAAGTCTTCAGAAAGACATCAGACTTTTACTGATTTAGACACAAGGATAACTTTATTTATAATTTTCTTCAAAGAACTAAACAGATTTTTAAAGGACTCTACCTTCAATATCTCTCCTAACTTATATCTTTGTTGAGAAATTGTGCAAGGTTAAGTTTACTTTTTTCTAGTGCCGCTGTTTTGGCTCGTCTTGGTAATCTCATCTTCATTTCTGATTCTGGTTCTGGAACTTCATGATCACTAAACAGATGTTGAAAATACACCAATTTAGATACAAGCTTTAAAACTAGTTTATAAATAAAACACTTTTTGTTTCTGATGACATTCTAATACTGCGTGATTGATAGATCCCATTAACTAAACTTACAGCTAAAAATCTCAAAACAATAATCAAACAGTGACTGGCTATCCAAAAAAAATCAGTCACAGAAAGCCCAACCTAATTTTGTGATATACTATATGGAACCTAGTGTTATATTGGAGGATGAGGGGGATAAAAAATATATTCTCCAAATTTCTTTAATCTTGTAATTAAACAAGAACCATACACCTTCCCCACAGTTTTTCTTAGGAATTGAGATGTGGGAAAATATTTATTTTGATTCAGGCAATAAATTCCTAAAATTCTATAAACAAGTTTGCCAAAGAAACTAAATTTAATCAAGACGTAATGAATATATGTAGTGAAAATATATATAAAATAATTTTACCAATCAATAGATAGATAAATGCAAGATAGTTAAAAACTTTAAGTTCTAGCAGTGGCATAATTGACAACAAAATAAGCATCTGTCATACCACCAATATATCCAAATTATGGGCAGAATTCTATCATTGTAAATGTAAAGAACCCAAATGTTATCTAAATCAAGACTGCTAATTCAAGCTCAATGAGGAATCAAATTGAGAGAATATATTAAAGATGATTACCTATTACTAAAGGCAAAAAGATATACGCCATCAAAAGTCAAATACTATTAATGATGAAATTCTCAACTATATGTGGTACTCTACAAAGTTTGTGAGAAACAAAGGAAGAGATAATTTCCTTGCACCAAAATAATTTTTGAAGTCCATGCATAATTTTCATAATAAACATTTTCTAAGAACTTTCTGAAGATCCCTCATATAACCAAGGCATGGCTATTTTTACTTTTCACTATATTGTATGAGTTTCATCATTCACAGAAAAATATGACTTTTTTACATGCAAAGCTTACCTTTCACATTCAGCCTCACCAGTCTGACGTCTCCTGTTCATCCTCGCTGAAGCTGTCACTTTTTTCCGTCCTCAAAGACAATATAATTCACTATCAATTTATTATCAATTACATATTAGTTTTACTCTAGTTTCCAGGTTATATAAATCCTTTATTTTATCAATCATTTCAACAATTTTCTTTTTATTTCCTACTGGTTCTCTGCTACCTTGGTACCAATTAGGATCACCAGAGAGAAAGGAACCCAAGTAAAAGTAAAATTTACATTACTTTCTTTTATAAACACAATAATGGGCAAGGGAAATATGGAAGTTACAAACAAGTTACAAGGAGTCATATTTTAGATCAATGTATTTGGGTACAGGAGCATCTGAAAAAACATGTTTAATATCACTGCTGTAACAAAAGGTACACAGACTGAAAATTAAGATTAGAAAGGTTGGTGAGAAACACAAACAGGTTCTAAAAATAATTTTCATCACTAAGGTAGTGACTTCTTATATTTGTACATACACAATTTAATTATGGATGTTCTAGAATATATTTCAATATGAAAATTAGAAACTTTATGTACCAAGCGTTGTAAAACTTTTACTTGATGGAAACTTACAAGGTTAAGATGACAGCATGGCCTGTGATATTCCTCATTTATGATAAAAAGTAAGCATGTATACATAAAGTTTAGACTATTCAAAAAAGGATGAAATTCTCATGGTGTACTATTTAACTAAAACAATCTCCTGAAATTGTTCAGTATGACAATTTGAAAATTATACATATATACCCTTATTCATGTTACACTTTTGCTTTTTCTGCACATTACTTGTTTTTACTAATGCATTTATTCCCAAGAAAACATCCAACAATATGGGACTACTGTACAACCATATCTAGTAATTGATATCTAAATAGTTGGTTAAAAAAAAAAATGTGGCCACATTCCATTTTAGAAAAAAATTAAATCTACATAGAAAAAGGCCTTTAAAGCTATTTTTCAAAGATTAAATTCATGATTGGCATTATTAGTGTTCTTTATAACAGTTTTCTTGGATGTACTTTTTGATTTCTCTGTAATAAGCATGCATTGCTTTTGTAAAATAAAATAATAAAACAATAAAAGCCCTCCCAAGAGTCAATACTTCCTTTATTCCAACAAATCCCCTATTGTTGGATATGTATCAGGAAATAAATTATCACATAAATACGAAATACAATGGGAGGAAACAGAAAAAGCCCAGGGCTGGCGCCGTGGCTCACTTGGTAAATCCTCTGCCTATGGCGCCAGAATCCCATATGGGTGCCGGGTTCTAGTCCCAGTTGCTCCTCTAACAGTCCAGCTCTCTGCTGTGGCCCGGGAGGGCAGTGGAGGATGGCCCAAGTGCTTAGGCCCCAGCCCGCATGGGAGACCAGGAGGAAGCACCTGGCTCCTGGCTTCGGATCGGCGCAGCGCCGAGCAGCCATTTGGGGAGTGAACCAACAGAAGGAAGACCTTTCTCTCTGTCTCTCTCTCTCACTGTCTATAACTCTACCTGTTAAATAAAAAAAATAAAAATAAAAAAAATAAACTTACCTTTAAAAAAAAGCCCAAAAATGCTACATGGATTAAACAAAAAAAAAATGCTTAGCCATCATAAAAGACAGAACACAATAACTGGTAATATAAAATCATCATTTAACCAAATCTAGTCCTTAAGCAAAAGCATTTGGAACACTGATTTCATAATCTTTAGACACTAAGCAAAACTAATACCAACTTAAAGAATTAAAAAGGCTACCGAAGACACTGAAAAAACTTTATCCCTAAGAAAACAAGGATAAACTTAGAGAGTAAGGATTTTGCATTAGGAGACAAAATTGAAAACAGTTTTACTGCAAAGCTAGTCAATCAGTACACTACCTCTATTAGTCTTTTGCTGAGTAGAGCTTGACATCCAGGTTGGTTTTACATCCCTGCGAGGAGTCATGTATACTTCTTTATTATTTTCTATTAAAGAAAACAATATAACAATCTAAATAAAATATAGCTTCATGAAATATTTCAAATGGTCTTTTCAAGTCAATATTTCAGACATGACACTTAGCAAGCTGTTGAGAGGTTATAAATCACTGTTCCAAAAAAATGTGAGTACTGGAAACAATCAGAACTCCTGAAAATATGGTTATATGATGAGAAATATATGCTTTCATACTTGAAATGTATACTTATTCAACTTAAAAAGTAGAATAAACACTATCAGAATGAATAATACTCTATTCCAAGGGAATTAAGTAGAAAAAAGTTTTCATTCATTTATTACATCCAACCAAATACATTAGAAGGAAAAAAAATAAAACTAAGTAAAGATGAAAAGGTTAGAATGTTATAAATATTCTGGTCATTACCATCTTCATTTTGAAAACCAGTTGTGGTTATACTGGCTTCCGGTGCTGCCACAGTTTGGTCATCAAATTCTTTATTTTCTTTTTCTAACTGAACCTTGATTTTCTCCAAAGCTTTTAAACATGTCCTGTCTTTTACTTCCTACAAAAAGAGAACATTAATATATTTGAAATACACATATTCTAATCTTCCTACAAAAAAGTTATATACCAATATTACAACATTCAAGGGGTTAGCATTTAGCCTAGCAGTAAAAGGCTAGTTAAGACTTCATATCCCATATGGGAGTACATCAATTTGATACTCACCTCCAATTCCTCACCCCAGCTTCCTGCTAGCGCAAACACTGGGAGGCAGAAGTGGTGGCTCAAGTAATTGGGTTCCTGGGATCTACATGGTAGACCTGGATTGAGTTCCTACCTCCTGGCTTTACAGGTCTATTACACTCATCTGGGGAGTGAACCAGCAGATGGTAGTCCACTCCGTTTCACTGCCTCTCAAATAATTTTTAAAATAATAAGGGCTGGTGCTGTGGCATAGTGAGTAAAGCTGCCACCTGCAATGCTGGCATCCCATATGGGCACCAGTTCGAGTTCCGCTGCTCCACTTCAAACCCAGCTCTCTGCTGTGGCCTGGGAAAACAGCAGAAGGGGCCCAACTCCTTGGGCCCCTGCACCTGAGTGGGAGACCCAGAGGAAGCAGCTCTGGTAAATGTGGCCATCTGGGGAGCAAACCAGTGGATGGAAGACTTCTCCCTCTCTCTCTCTCTCTCTCTGCCTCTGCCTCTCTCTAACTCTTTCAAATAAAATAAATCTTAAAAAATAAAAGCTTACATAAAAAAAGCATTCTAAAAATTATATAAAACTTATTGAAAGAACTACTTCAAATGAGCAGTCATAATATGCTAATATGTATAAATTAATACATCCCTATAAATTCTATTGCATAAATATCAACATATACTAATTAAGAGTAATTTGAAAATATCTTACCTCCAGAATCTCACCCAAGAGAACCAGAAGATCTTTTGCAATATTGCTACTTAGTTCTAAAGAATTCAAGGCTTTTGTATAGATGCGAACCTCTGGTGAGCATGGACTTGTTAAGATCTCATTGCAAATTTTTATAGCCAAATTGTCATGTACTGTAAAGGCCTAGAAAATTAAGGGAAAATTACTTGCAAGTTCAAAATGAATACGATACAGCTAGCAAACATTTCCAATCATTTTACTATAATCCCAAATGCAAAATGTCTAAAACCAAATTTAAAATATACCTTTTGCCCCAAAATAAGTTCTCCTCCTAACTTTCTGTGGTAAATGCTGTAATACAGCATTCCAGATCCACCCCTTTTAGGACTAAAGCACTCATTCCAGTTATTGCACCTTTTAGAGGCTGAAAGTTCCCAGTTATAAGAGTGATACAAGCAAGTGAGAGTGGATACTGCCTAAGGTCAAACCTCCTCCCTCAATGATCAGTCTATATCCAATGATTAGCTAAAGCATAGGTACAGTGGCCCAACTTTTCTCAATTCCGAACAACTCAAAGGCAGATCCAAGTTCTGGAACTTCCTAAGTTACCAGCCATGGCCTATTTGCCTGGTAGTTAAACTTGGTCCTATGCCCTAAAGTACATTCCTTTCCTCCAACATGTTAATGAGAGTACTCTCAAATTATACTAACAGCTCTTCTGGTCCTCTGTAACCAGTACAACTTTTATGATTCTTCTATACAGTTACTCACTGCAAATGAGGCCAACTCAAAATATCCTACACTTTGGCCCCTTAGCAATCTATAATTTACTCACAAAATTATGTCTTCTTCAGGATCCTTAGCCCGAATGATTTTTGCCAGTTTCTCAACATAAGTGACATAACAATTCTACATTTATCACCTTTACTAAAATATCTTTCTTTTCTATACTGCTCCCCAAATCCAACAAGGCCTAAATGAGCTTTATTCAAAAAAATTTTGTAACTATCAGTGCTATACTCATCATCCCTATGAATTTGCCCTTCTATAAAAGTCCTAAAAGTACTTACTGACTCTGTCACTGACCCCTTACTACATTTTGCCTAATATCCTTTCTAATCTTATCATTCCAATAACATTGTGATTTGAGCAAAGTACATAGTCACTAAATAAGAGAGAACAGCAAAACTTTCAATTTGATCATTTATATCAGAAATCATGCCATTGAAGGATTTAAAAATCAATTTTAATCTGTGGTTCAGTTTGCAGCTGAATTGTCATCTTTGAATTAAAAACCAAAATAAGCTTGAGATGAGTTTCAGTCTTTAATAGCAGCAGCATAGCAAGTAAGCCAACATTTGAAGACTCAGTGAGTCCTGGGATAACACAAGTCATCCATCAGTGATTTCCAGGCAATATTAAGTGGCAAAGGGATAAATGGGGCTATTGAATTTTTTGTAATTTCAAGAGCAAAAATGTTAGTTAGCATCAGCTTTTCCATTTGATTTCTCCACATTTCCTGAAACATCATTTTCTTTTTTCATACTAAACATGAAATCTCAAAATAAAAACACAACACTCCACTATTTTGAAGAGAAGGAATATTTTGCCAAAATAATGGTCTACATATTGTCATCATCCTAACCATTCCCAGGCTAACATATTCATCCACCTGATAATCTTGGGAATACTTGGCTTGAGGGTTTAATCCACTTGGTCTTGTCAAATCTACAAGTAATTCAGCAACATTTGTGATATCTATTTCAGCTAAAGGAGAAGATGCAGGAGCATTGGCCAGTGTTTGCAGAGTTGGAAGAAAAGCTTCTTCAAAGCATTCCTGATTCGTCCTATTGAAAAAAAAATTAGAAAATGTTAGCAGACAGAAGTGTAAAATTCACCCCATAAAGTACATTTTCATCCAGGAAGGAGACAAATAATTCAGGCAGATAAGACATATATAAACTCTTCACATTTCATAATTTATCCACTGAAGACAGACTATCAAAAACAAAATGACATTATAGACATAACTCATTAGGGGCCAGAATATGACCTCAAATCAGGTTTTAGTATTACTCAGTACCTGCTTGCATATGCAAACATGGGGAAGAACACGCCTAGGCAATGTCGAAGTCGAACATCCTCTTCAGTCACAGGATTGTACCATAACAAAATAAGACGAGAAAGAATCCTACTGCTGACCAAAAGTCCAGAGAACATCAGCTTGGCTAGTCCTTCCGCAGCTCCTGTCCTGAGCTCAGACACCTAATAAAAATGACATTCATTTTAAGACATTATTTTTATTTCCTTTTTAAGCCTCACAATGTAGCCTGTCCTATATATTTATGTGAACTACCTAAAATCAACAGGTGATTTTATGTGTTAAAGGTACACAAGAAGATTTTGTTTTTTTATAGCAAGACTAATGCTTTTAAACAACTGTAGGCCAGTGCCGTGGCTCAATAGGCTAATCCTCCATCTAGCGGCACCGGCATACCGGGTTCTAGTCCCGATCGGGGCACCGGATTCTATCCCAGTTGCCCCTCTTCCAGGCCAGCTCTCTGCTATGGCCCAGGAGTGCAGTGGAGGATGGCCCAAGTGTTTGGGCCCTGCACCCGCATGGGAGACCAGGAAAAGCACCTGGCTCCTGGCTTCAGATCAGCGCGGTGCGCCGGCCGCAGCAGCCATTGGGGGGTGAACCAATGGCAAAGGAAGACCTTTGTCTCTGTCTCTCTCTCTCACTGTCCACTCTGACTGTAAAAAAAAAAAAAAAAAAAAAAAAAAAAAACTGTAAACAATGCAAGACAAATCATTAGTCTGGCCATGAAAACGTCAATTTCCTTAAAACTCTTTAGTAGAACCAAAAGGACCTTTTTAAATGAAAGGAAACAAAAAATCATTATAATATGCATTTTTTCATTATATTTAACTTTTTTTTAGTTTTCAAAAGGTTCAATATAAATATAGTTCTTAGATACAATTCTGAGAATATAATGATATTCCCTTCCTTCTTCCTTCCTTCCCTCTGTCTCCCTTTCCTCTTCACTTCTGAGATAACATATCTTTAATTTACTTTACAATCAAGGACTTGATGCTCCATTAAAGGATCAACAAGTAAAAAGACCTTCATTTAACAGAAATGTAGGCAAGGACTTTAAACAATAATCAAGTGGAAAAATAAAATGCGTGGCATTTCTAAGACAGAATATCATCAGCAATGATCCCACCACCAGAGGAAGGCCACATGTAAACAAAAGCTGCAGGTTTGAGTGGTAATGTGTTTGAATAACAGGTATAATGTGAACACACAGTATAGATATGGAAAAAGGCATTCCTAAAAAAAGAATCAAAACAAACCTACAGAAGAAAAAGGAAAAGAAGATACAGCAGCGTTCAAATGGAGGTATTGGTATAGTGTGGTGATTAAGAATACTAACTACTGGGACAGAATTTGATTCAAGTCTTTGACACATCCTAGCTGCAAGTTATTCTATGCATGTTATTTAACTTTTCTGTACCTCATCTTTTTTAATACACAAAAAGTAGATAATAAAAGTACTTGTCACTTAAACAGTTACAAAGATGAAAAAAGGATACATCTGAAGATCTTAGATGTGCCATTTACAAAGTAAATGCTCAATAAAATTACTGTGATTGATGCTCAGTGGTCAGATTAAAAACCATGAAGTTAGGTCAAGAAGTTCAAATTCAGTAATGTGTGATTTGGAATTGAAGAGTAATTGAAAATGTAGGGTGGCTGGAGCTGTGGCATAGCAGCTAAAGACGCAGCCTGCTGTGCCAGCATCTCATGTGGCTGCTGATTTGAGTTCCAGTTATTCCAGTTCCAATCCAGCTCTCTGCTATGGCCTGGGAAAGCAGTAGATGACCTAAGTCCTTAGGCCCCTGCACCCGCATGGAAAACCTGGCAGAAGCTCCTGGCTCCTAGCTTTGGATTGGCACAGCTCTAGACACTGCAGCAATCTGGGGAGTGAACCAGTGCATGCACGACTTCTCTCCCTCTCTGTAACTCTGCCTTTCAAATAAGTGAAAGAAAAGAGAAGAAAAGAGACAAAAGGGAAGGGAAGGGGAGGGGAAGGGAGGGGAGGGGAGGGAAAAAGGAAGGAGGGAAGGAAAGAAGGAAGGGAGGGAGGAGAAAGAAGAAAGGAAGAAAAGAAAGAAAAAAGAGGGAGAGAGAGAGGGAGGAAGGGAAGAGAAAGAAAGGAAGAAAAGAGGGGAGGGGAGGATAGGGGAGGACAGGGGAGGACAGGGGAGGGGAGGGGAGGGGAGGGGAGGAGAGGAGAGGAGAGGAGAGGAGAAGGAGGAGGAGGAGGAGGAGGAAGAAGAAGAAAGAGAGAGGAAGGAAGGAAGGAAGGAGGTAAGGAGGGAGGGAGGGAGGGAAGGAGGGAGGGAGGGAAGGAAGGAAGGAAGGAAATGTAAGGAGACAAGATTTAAGTGAAATTTGAGAAAAATCAATTATCTTGAGAAATTATAAAAATGAAAGTCTAAATTAGGGAGACAAGTAAAAAACAATGAAATGAGCAAAGTTCAGAAAGAAAAATGATATGGGTCAAAAACATTAAGTATTAGGACATAGGCATGCGCTTTCCACATTCTCATCCTGTGCTCACCACAATCATGAGGGCTGAGACATTGTTTTATTTAGTATTATATAAGCAAGATTACAATGTGACTGGTAGATGAATGACACCAGACATTTCTTGAGTGAATTAAATAATCATAGTACTAAATACTCCTATAACCCCCATTTTACAGATGAGTACACAGGCCAAGAAAATAAATGCATTATTGAAGGCTCACACTGATGCTACCAGAAAACAAGCCTACCAATTTAAATTTCACACTATGACACAGGATTATTTTCTTGCTAGCAATTGTAACCCACTTGAAGTTGGATGGCAAGAATTGGGATAGGAGTATATGACTTAAAAGGTGGCTTCTTATGGCCCAGAGGAAAGTCAAGGAAATTTAGGTTTTTAAGTAGATAAGAGACAAAGTCTAAGCTAGAAAATTCAGCTTATGTGAGAGATTTAATGTACCAGTGCTATCAAACCAAAATAAAACAATATCATTCAGCCGGCGCCGCGGCTCACTAGGCTAATCCTCCGCCTAGCGGCGCCGGCACACCGGGTTCTAGTCCCGGTTGGGGTGCCGGATTCTGTCCCGGTTGCCCTTCTTCCAGGCCAGCTCTCTGCTGTGGCCAGGGAGTGCAGTGGAGGATGGCCCAAGTCCTTGGGCCCTGCACCCCATGGGAGACCAGGAAAAGCACCTGGCTCCTGGCTCCTGCCATTGGATCAGCGCGGTGCGCCAGCCGCAGCGCGCCGGCCGCGGCAGCCATTGGAGGGTGAACCAAAGCAAAGGAAGACCTTTCTCTCTGTCTCTCTCTCTCACTGTCCACTCTGCCTGTCAAAAAAAAAAAAAAAAAAAAAAAAAAACAATATCATTCACTTATTGTCAAACAATCTAATGATCAATAGTTTACCCATTTTTGCAATATTAGTAAGACTATGACCATGGACAATTCCCAACAAGAAATTAGTGTATCATTGGGTAATGGCTCCAAATTTAAAGTTTCATCTGATATTAAAATAGCCACCAAGTTCTCAATCAGTTACTATTTACATGGAATATATTTTACATACTTTGACATTCAACATTTGTGTCTTTGGCTCTAAAGAGTCTAGTGCAGACACAATACAGTTGGATTTTATGGTTTTGTCCACCTTTTCTACCAATATAGCTGGGTCTTGCCTTTTGATTAGAGTTTAGGATATTTATAAAGAAATCACTGAAATGAAAGGACTTACTTTTGCCAATTTGCAGTAAAAATTTTTCAAATTAAAACAAGACACAGAAGACATTACATAAGCAATACACTCTTACATATCAATGAATCAAAAACCTGTAAGAGAAGCTACAAAATAGAGATGAACTGAAATGAAAACACAACAAAAACTTATGGGATGCAGTGAAAAATGTTCAGAGGAAAATCTGTAGCAATAAATGTCTACATAAAAAGAAATCTCTCAAATCGATGATGCTACACTTTGGAGAATGAAAAACAAAAGAGCAGTGGTACACTTCAAGGAAGTAAGGAAGAAGAAAATAATAAAGATTAGTTCTGAGGTAAACAAAATACAGAAAAACAATATAAAATTCAACACTTTCCTAATTTTAAAAAAACACTTAAGGGCATTTATGAAAAACCACAAGTTATATCCTACTCAGTGGTAAAAGACCATCAACAAGTCAAGAATGTCTACTACCATTCAACTCTGTACTAGATGTTCTAGTCATAGCAATTAGACAGGAAATAAAAGGCATCCAAATTGGAAAGGAATATTATGTCTATTTACATATGACATGATGCTATAGAGAGAAAGTCCCAAAGGATCCTCACCAAAATTGAATTAATAAATAAATAAGCAAACAAAGACACCAGGGTCAGCATTATGGCACAGCAGATTAAACTGCCACTTGCAACATCAGCATACCATATAAGAACTGCTTCAAGTCCCAGCTACTCCACTTGTAACCCAGAGCCTTGCTAAAGCACCTGAAGAAAAGCAGAAGACAGTCTAAATACCTAAGAGACCTGGATCGAGTTCCAGACTCCTGGCTTCAGCCTAGCCCAGGCCTTGCTGTTGCAGCCATTTGGATGGAGAGTAACCAGAGGATGGAAGCTCTTGCTCCTTGCTCTCACTCTGACTCTCCCTCTCTCTCTGTAACTGTCTTATCAAATGAATAAATCTTAAAACCTACTAGAACTAACAAATGAATTCAGTAGTTCCAGGGCAAAAATAAAATCAATACATTCATAGTTGACTTTCTATACCCTAGCCATGAGCAATCCCCTAAGGAAATTAAGGGAAAAAATACATTTACAACAGTATCCAAAAGAAATAAAATACTTAGGAATAAATTTAACCAAGAAAGTAAAAGGTGTGTTAATCGCTACACTGAAACTACAAGATATTACCAAAAGAAATTAAAGATAACCTAAATAAATGGAAAGACTTCCCATGTTCATGGATTGGAAGATTTAACATTGTTCAAAAGGCAATACTACATATTTGATGCAATCCTCATCAAAACTTTAATAGGATTTTTGAAGAAATAGAAAAGTCAATCCTCAAATTCACACAGAACTACAGGGAACCTGAATACCCAAAACAAGACTGAAAATGAGGGACCAAATTAGAGAACTCATATTTCCCAACTTCGTCACTTATTAAGTTACAACTACTCAAAACTGTACAACTGACATAAGGATAGATACACAGCATTGAAATAGAACTGGAGAATCCAGAAATACACATTAGTATCTACGGCCAAATGATTCTCAACAAGAGTGCTAAAATGATCTCTTCCACTAATGGTACAGGGACAACCAAATATCACAGGGAAAACAATGAAGGTGGGCTCCAACTCACTCTATATCAAATATTACTGCAAAATGCATCAACAGGCCAAATATAAATGCTAAAACCATAAAACGCCTAGAATAAATACAGAAATTAACATCTTTGTGACTTGGTGATGGAGTCTTAGGTATGACACCAAAAACAAGTAACAAAAGGAAAAACAGATGAATTGGGCTTCTTCAAAATTAAGAACTTTTATACATCTAAGGACATTATCAAGAAAGTAAAAATATGAAATATGAGGTAGAAGAAAATATTTATAAAGTATGTCTGATAAGGATCTACTGACTATATAAAGAACTCCATAAATACCCATCCTATTTTAATAAAAGGAATTGAATAGACATTCCTCCGAATAAAAAATACAAATAGGAAAATGATAGAGACACTCAACATCATTTTATTATGAGGAAAATGCAAATCAACAGCTTACTGAGATACCTCTTCATATTTACTACGATGTCTATAATTTTTAACAAACAGAGAATCAATGTTGCAAAAGCTGTACAGGAATTGGAAACCTTGTACACTGAAGGTAGAATTGTAATATAGCTTGGCTGCTGTGAAAAAGTTTGGCAGTTTCACAAAAACTTTAAATACCTTAACATTTCTTTTAAACAGGCAGGTGCCATGTAATTAGGCGCACATACATTTATAATAGTTACATCTTCCTGTTGAATTGACCCTTTAATCATTATATAGTGCACTTCTTTGTCTAACAGTTTTTGTGTTAAAAATCTATTTTGCCTGATATTATGATGGCTACATCAGCTCTTTTTTTTGGTTTCTGTAAGCATGGAATATATTTTTCCATCCTTTCACTTTCAGTCTGCATGCTTCTTTGTTGGTGAGATGTGTTTCTTATAGGCAGCAAATTGATGGGTTTTGTTTTTAATCCATTCAGCCAGTACGTGTCTTTTAACTGAGGAGTTGAGGCCATTTATGTTCAAGGTGAATATTGATAAGTTGTGACTTTGCCCTGCCATTTTTCTAAAAATATTCTTCATTTTTACTTTGAGTTTCCTTTAATCTGTTACTGAGAGATTTTCTTTCTTTACTTTCTTGCATAGTAATGACCATGTTTCTGTGTGCAACATAACCGTAAGCATCTTTTGAGTGCTGGACAGGTAGTTGACAAATTCTTTCAATTTCTATTTGATATGGAAGGTCTTTATTTCACCTTCATCCACAAATGAGAGCTTTGCAAGATATAATATTCTGGCATGGCAGTTTCTTTTCTCTTAGTACTTGGGCTATATCGCACCATTGCCTCCTAGCCTGTAGGGTTTCTGATAAGTCCACTATGAGTCTAATTGGAAATCCTCTCAAAGTAATCTAGCATTTCTCTCATGCACATTTTAGAATCTTCTCTTTATGTTTTACTGTGGTGCGTTTGATGACAATGTGTCTTGGCAAGGATCTTTTCTAGTCATGTCTATTGGGAGTTCTGTGGGCTTCCTGTACTTGGATATCCCTTTCTCTCTCCAAACCAGAGACATTTTCTGCTATTTCACCAAAAAGGCCTTCTAATCCTTTCTCTCTCTATGCCTTCAGGAAATCCTAGAACCCGTATGTTGGTTTTTTTTTAATAGTAGATTCCCAACAGTGTTTTTTTAGTTTCCTAGTTTCCTCTTTGGTTTAACTACATACTTTCCTGTGCTCGTTTTTTTTTTTTTTTTTTTTTTTTGAAAGTCAGAGCTACACAGAAGAGAAGGAGAGGCAGAGAGAGAGAGGTCTTCCATCCACTGGTTCACTCCCCAATTGGCCGCAATGTGCCAATCAGAAGCCAGGAGCCTCTTCCAGGTCTCCCAAGCAGACGCAGGGGCCCAAGGACCTGGACCATCTTCTACTGCTCTACCAGGCCACAGCAGAGAGCTGGACTGGAAGTGGAGCAGCTGGGACTTCAATCAGTGCCCACACAGAATGCCGGCACTGCAGGCAGTGGCTTTACCTGCTATGCCACAATGCCGGCCCCTGTGCTTTGTCTTCTAAGTCTGATATTCTTTCTTCTGCTTCACCAATTCTGTTGTTAAGGCTCTCAACTGCATTTTTTATTTGCTCTGTTGAATTCTTCATTTTATTTTGATTTCTCTTTAAGATCTCAGTTTCATGGGAGAAATATTCTTTCATGTCCCGCACGGATTTCAGTAGTTCATGCATTTGCCTTTGATTACTTCTATGTAATCTTATAATCCATTTTTTGAACTCCATTTCCTGCATTTCTTCTGTCTCGTTGTCTTCACAATTTAGTACTGAAGTGTCGTGATATTTTGGGGGTGTCATGTTATCTTCCTTATTCTTGTTTCTTGGATTGGTGTGTTTGTTTTTCAGCATTTGTTGAGATATCTGTTGGTTTCCTTTTTTTTTTTTTTTTTTTTTTTTTTTTGCTGTAGCAGCTTTTAGCATTTTACTATGACTCTGTAGATAAGTGGAATGTCTGGGTTCAGTGAATCTCTAGAGGCTTGTAGTGGGTGTGGCCAGAGAGCTTGGTTCAATTCTCCAGGGTTAAGGGCGTGCCTAAGGTGACACAACCAAGTTTGGCATGGTAAATCTCTCTTTCTTTTGAATCAGAAGGGAGGTTTATTCTGCTCAGCTGAGCTCTTCTCCTCAATGGAGACCAGTGCCCGAGCACTACCACCAGTAGGTATAATATTCATCACTCTGTCCCAAGAACCACACAAAGGATCTGTGCAGTCCTTATTGTAAGTTCAGATTCCCAAGCAGTTTCTCATCAGGTAACCAGGAACCCACATGCTTATGGAGTCTCCCACTGACACTGCTCAAAGTCCCAGCCACACCATGAGTCCTCCCACACACCCTCAGTTTTTTTTTTTTCCACAGTCCCAGTACAGAAGCCTCATGCAGTCACAAGCTCCTAGCCCCATAAGTTCTCCCCACCAGTCAGGAGTCTGCACTCGTCTGGTTGCTGGGTGCAAACACGAGCTGGCACAGTTGTTACCTATGCCTAAAATGGTACCTGCTCTATCAGCTTGTTACAGCATGCCATTGTAAAGTGATCGGGAGAGAGAAATGTGTTGTGTCCTGTACTTTTTTTTTTTTCTCCTCTAGTTTGGCTGGTACACTTTCCCCAATGGGGATCCAAGTGGGGTTTGCTCTAGTCTCTTCCTGCAGCTTTTTTGCCAGTGACATGGGCTGCTGAGTCTGGTCTCACCTCACTTTGTAGCATTGGTGCATAGGCTCTCAGCTGCTGGAGTCCTGAGCCCATGGGCGCCCATTCCCTCCACATAGGTCCACCATGTCCCTCTAATTTAGGTAGAGTTTCCTCTGCCATTTTCTCCCTAACTCTTCCCTGAGACTAGACTCTCTCCACTTTTTTTAAATTATCTTCTCCTGGGCTAGAGCAGTAAGCTCCCTCCCTACTCCACCATCTTGGAACTGCCCAACAACACCTTTTGAATTCTTTAAACACTTTAAATGTTTATATTTGCTATAAAAATGTACTTCAAGATCTTAAAGAAAAGATCAGTTATACCTCCTTTTGAACCTCCTACCTACCCAATGTAAAATTATTCTAAACTATTTCTTAAATCTCCTCAGGAAAAAAACAGTCTCTCAATCATAAATACAAGGTAAAAGATGAAAAATTATTAACAATCTCCTGTAATTGTCAATTAATTTTGTATATGCTTCAATTTGCACATTTGTTTTGACAGAAATTAGTACAAGGGATAGCTGGCATTTAATTAAGATATTCAAAAAGCAAACTAAATTTTTGTCCAAATTTAAACTTGGACAAAAATGAAATATAGCATAAACAAATACATGCTGAAAATGACACTTCATAATCATAGGACTGGGATTATTTCTTACCTCACTATCCAAGAAATCAGAAAGTAGTTTCAGAACATTCTTCACTGTAGCAGTCTCTTCAACTTCTTCTGACTCTTGCTCAGCATCACTGTTTATTTCTACACCTTCACACTGAAGATCCTTAATTTTTTTGGTTTTAAATGGTTCAATCCCAAAAGTCATCAGTTGGTCAAAAATTGCCTTTAAAGCACTTATTTTTATGGTGACATCATCAATTTGCAATACCTACATTGAAACATTCCATCAAAAAAGTAAAATCAGTAAACTGGTTTAATTCTGCTTCTTGTGAATAGTTAATATATCTTATTTTTTCTTAGTCAAATTTCAAAAACAGAGTCCACAGAAAGCATCATTTTACAGAAATAAAATTCATTTTTAGAAAGGTATATTTTATTTATTTGCACCATAACATTTAGAGCTATATTCTTTAAGAAACAATCTTTGCAGTCAAAAAAAAGTCTGGAACTAGAATCAGATTGAATTATATTATTTGCTCCTTTTATTTAAAAAAAGAATGAATAATACCTTCAATTAAGGTTTTACCACTCTGATCCAGAAAAAGTTTAATTATTTTCAAACTAGCCCGTCAATCAAGAGAAAAACATTACATTCTAACCAACAAAAGCTTTTGTTAGAACATCAGTACTCTTCCAGATTACCAAGGTTTATTCAAGATAGATTTTTCTCTTACTAATTCAGTAAACTCAGATTTCATTAATAGTGAATTTTCTTTTTTTTCTTTTCATTTTCAATTATCTTTATATACAGAAGATCGATTTAGTATATATTAAGTAAAGATTTCATCAGTTTGCACCCACACAGAACATAAAGTGTAAAATACTGTTTGAGTACAAGTTATAGCATTAATTCACATTGGACAACACATTAAGGACAGAGATCCCACATAAGGAGTAAGTATACAGTGACTCCTGTTGTTAACAGTTAATAGTGAATTTTCAACTGGACTCCTTTATCAAAGGAGAACCATAATCCCAGCAGTTCATGAGTCTAGCGTGAGTTAAACGTGCACACCAAATGTCATTGCCATGGAAAAAAAAGACCTCTATATATCTATCATGAAATATTTACTATGTTCTTCAATGCAATTAATTTTGGTTATTGATAACTTGGCTATTTTACTTGACCTGCAGAATGAATAACCTATAAATTGGCCAAATTAGTGAATTGAAGAAAATGGTTCAAATTCTCAAGATTTTGAAGGAAATTTCAAGAACATATATAATACTTGTTTTCTGAAGGCAAACCTTGCAAATCTGCTGAAGCCAAATGATTATATTTTCCGTCACTATTCTGTACAAATTCTAAACAAGCCACTATCTCAGCAGCACTTACTCCTTGTTCTTCTATCCTTTACCAAGCAGCCACGTTCTCAATAATTGGAGAAAGCACATTTTAAAATGCTCCCCTCATTTTCTAAGTGCTTATATATCCCTTATTTCAATTTTTATTACTAAAACTGAATAAAAATGACTAATTAGAACCTAAAAAAACCTAAAAAGGACTATTTACCCTCCAACAAAAACCACAGCTCTTTCCCGCCTATCTACATCTTCCAATGATAGACTTGAAAATACCCTTATAAAACAGTAAATCTATTCAGTGCTTAACTTTTAAGATTTATTTATTAATTTATTTGAAAGGTGGAGTGTCCGAGACAGGAGAAGCAGAGAGAGATTTTCCATCCATTGGTTCACTCCCCAAAGAAATGCAACAGCCAGGCAGAGCCAGACTGAAGCCAGGAGACAAGAACTTCATCCGGGTCTTTCACATCTTGCACTGCTTTCTCAGGTGCATTAGCAGCAAACTACATCAGAAGCAAAGTAGCCAGCCAGAATTCTGAAACGGGAATCAGTTATCCTAAGCAGCAGTTTAACCCATGGTGCCACAACACTGGCCCCTCAGTAATTAACTACTCCTTTTGATCATGGATCCTGCTTGAGGAGTCTAAATAAAAGCTCAAAAAATTTCACTGCAGAATAATATAAAAAGATAAGCAAATTTTTCACACACACAGAAAGTTTTCAAACATTAATAACCCCTGAAAAAAATTTAGAGATAAAAGTTCTTTAAACAAAATTTTTTTAACTTTTAAATCTATGGCACTATTGCTATTGACTGATTGGATCTGGGGAAAAAATAATTGTGACGTGTTCTTAATCAGGAACATCACTTAATCTGTCACATCAATTTGATGCTGACAATTCCTGATCATTACACAAAATTAAAGAGAAACAGTATCAAGGTCTCTCATCAAGTAGGGCAGGAGTTTACGTTAAATAATTCCAGAATGTTCGAGGGCATTTTTTAAGTGTTAATTTATTTTCATGTACTTGAAAGGCATAGCAGCAGAGAGACAGATTATCTTCCATTCACAGGTTCATTCTCTATATGCCTGTAACTACCAGGACTGGACCAGAACAAAACCAGGAGCCAGGAACTCTATCTGGTCTCCTATTTGAGTGGCAGGGACCCAAGCACTTGAGCCATCACCTGCTGCCTCCCAGGATGCATTAGCAAGAAGTTGGATAAGTGAAGGTGCCAGGATTTGAACCAGCACTTCAATACAGGATGCAGGCATCCAAAACAGCAGCTTAATGGATTGTACCACAACACTCACTCCAAGGGCATTCTTTAATGTTAAATGATTTTGTATGAAATCACCAAGGCATTTATTATTGATGTTATGAAAGCAAAAATTAAAAAGATCACAAGTCTTAAAGGTCAAGTGAACTTAAATATGCCTTGAGAAGTTCTACACTATTTCCTTTTGCCACTGCATTAAAACGTTTACATAATTGTCTGACTCCAATCTCTTTTATCAAAGTTCCAACTTGAGTGTAACAATTCAAAAATTTTCAGCAGTATTCATAATAGTATAAGTGTATCTTAATGAATGTTTTACCTCATATTTAGAGCCAAAAAGAACTTTTTTAAGATTCATTTATTTATTTGGAAGTCAGTTAGAAAGAGAAGAGTCAGAAAGAGTTCTTCCATCTGCTAGTTCACTCCTCAGATGGCAGCAACAGCCAAGGCTGAGCCAGGCCAAGCCAAAGCCAGGAGCCAGGAGCTTCACCTGGGTCTCCCACGTGGGTGGTAGGGGCCCAAGCATTTGAGCCATCTTTTGCTGCCTTTCCAAGGTCATTAGTAGGGAGCTGGATTGGAAGTGGAGCAGCCAGGATCCAAACTGGCACCCACATCGGATGCTGGCATTATAGACAGCTCATCTGCTTTGCCATATTGCCACCCCAAAAGAACTACTTTCTAAGCTACACATAAATGAACCTTCCATATATTAAGTTCTAAGATTTTTCTTCCATGTAAATTTTTTCTTCTACATTCTAGCACCTCAAAGCTCATAATCAGAAAGCCAGGAAATAGTAGAGAACTTATGGATACAATTACAATCTGCCGTCCCCATTCATGGTTCTGCATCCAGAAACAACCAAATAAGGACTCAAAATATTGAAAAAAAAATGCATTTGTACTAAAAATATACAGACTTTCTTCCTTGTCACTATTCCCTCAATACTACAAATAACAACTATTTACATAATATTTACAGTGCATTAGGAATTATAATTTAGGTATTTTTAAGTTATACAGGATATGCATAGGTTATACACTAATACTGTCATTTCACATAAAGGAATTAAGAGTCCAAGAATTTTGGAATCCACAGGTATGTGTGGGTGTATATGTGTGTCATGGAAATAATCCCCTACATATACTAAGGGCCAAGTGTACTTGGCAAATTTGTTTGAAAATGTAGGATTTTATTTCCTGGACACCTATAAAGCCTAAATTTCATAATTACGAGCAAAACTTCCTTGGAATTATTCACACAATCACTGATGCCAATACCTGCTATGTAAAAAGTAATGACTTTCTGTAATACATGGAGATTATTTCTTAATTCGAAACAAAACCAGATGATCCATCTGGACGAGTACCAAAATTTTTCTTGTAGTTCATTTACAAATGAACTTTTCACTATTTTAAAGATAATACTGAGGGCCGGCACTGTGGTGTAGCAGGTAAAACTGCCGCCTGCAGTGCCGGCATCCCTTATGGGCACCAGTTCGAGTCCCAGCTGCTCCACTTCTGATCCAGCTCTCTGCTGTGGCCTGGGAAAGCATTAGAAGATGTCCCAAGTCCTTGTACCTGCACATGCGTGGGAAGACCCAGAGGAAGCTCCTGGCTCCTGGCTTAGGATGGGCACAGCTCTGGCCATTGCGGCCAATTGGGGATGGAAGACTCTCTTTCTCTGTGCCTCTCCTTCTCTCTCTGTAACTCTTTCAAAGAAATAAATAAATCCTTAAAAAAATAAGATAATACTGACATTCCGTATTACCAAACAGAACTCAACAGTAATAGCAATTTTTCTGTGATAACAGCATAGGATGAAAAATACAAAGAGGCATTAGGAATCTTCATCACTACATATTATAATGAACTACTTAGCTGCCAATCTGTCCATGAACTCTCAGAAAATTAAAGCAAAATCCTGAAATATCCAGGGATTTTTTTTAACAAAAGTATGGTTTTAATTTTTCTCCTTTAATCAAGCTACAGGCCAGTCTGGCTAATTCTAGGACACATGACTTTATCAAGATCTAATTTTCTTCTTGCCAATGTCATATGCAACGTTAAAGTGCGTTACAAGATAAGAGAACTATATTTGGGAAAAATTCACCTTACTGGTTGAGTCTGGTCTTTTAAAATAATTTTTTCAAGAAAACAATGATCCATGTCATCATAAGTTATTTTCAAGACAGGTACATAGGCTCTCCTTTGCTTTAGATAGATAGATAGGTAGATAGATAGATAGATACTTAACATGGATACCTTACTGGTTCTGTCTCTTTAAAGAACTCTGCCTAATACCACCCTTTTCATGATCCCAGTAACCACAACTCTGATCCAAGTCATCATCATCTTTTTCCAGAATTGCTGAATATCCTCCTTATTAGCATTCCTGTTTCCATACTTGTATCCTTATAGTTAGTTAATACTAGATTGGCAAACTATGCCCACAGGCCAAAGCCAAATACTACTGGTTTTTAACAGCCTGCTAGTTTGGAATACTTTTACATTATTGAACAATTGTACAAAATTCAAATTCCAACGTCTCTAAATCAAGTTTATTGAACTGTCACACTCATTTATGTAACATCTACAGCGGTTTTCACACTAAGACAGAACTGAATACTTGAGACAATCACATGGCTCACAAAGTCTAAAATATTTTCTCTCTTGCCCTTTACAGAAAAGGTCTGCCAACCCCTCTCTAGTCTACCCAATCTTGTACCCAATCATATAACAATCTACTCAAAGCCCTCCAATTTCTTCCCATCTCGTTCACCAGTGAAAACTGCTGATCTTTAGTCTGTAAATTCCTAGAAGACACAGGCATCCTGCAAATCCTTTTTCCTACTATTCTTCACTTTGTTTCAATGTTTCCTATCCAGGTATCCTCCTGCTCATTGAGCATGCCTAGCAAAGTACTATCCCAGGGCCCGTCCTTGCCCTTCACTTTCCTTGGAAAACCAGATATCGACTAGGTTCACTCCTTTGCTTCTCTCTGGGATGGGCCCAAACATCAAATTTGTATTTACCTGAATTATCTTATTTAATCCTCAACAAATCTGGTTGTAAGGGCTATCTCCACCAAAATCCCCCTTTCTCTCTTCTCACTCCCTATTCTCTTTCTTTGCTTTATTTTTCTCTGTCATATTATATACATACATGTTTCTTCTTCTAAAATGTAAGCTCCATTAGGACAACTTTCTTCTTCTGTTTGTTTATATTACCTACATACCTTATTTTGTCTAGTTCTAAATCAGTACTAGCACATAATATTCACTCAATAAACAGTTGCTAAATGAATAATTAATAGTTTCTTAACTGATATTTCAGCATTTTACAGTAACATTTTAATAAATCAAAAGATAAAAATTGAATTATGATAATTTCCCATCATCTTCAGAATACAGAGTATGAGAATTATCATCACACGCACACAGTATTCAGAAAATATAGTCAAGCTTTTGTCAAAAAATAAATCCTACCTGCAACAGCAATACAAAATGTTTACTTGCAAAGTCCTGATTCTGTAGTCCACAGCATCCCAAGCATAAAACAGCCAGATTTCTTACTACAGGATGAACACTTATTATTCCAGGAAGAATCTAATATAAAAAACAGCATGTAAAATATCTCAATAGTTTTTAACAAGTAAATGATAGCATTTTGGATACATATGAACAAAAATGTTATCTGTATGTATTTAATATATTAAAATTAATTGTACCTGCTTATTTTCATTTTTTGTAGACTCTAGAAATTTAATATTACATTTGGTTTAGGCTAAATTCCTGTCAGAAAATGTTATTTTAGAGTTCTGCAGCACTCATGTCACTATAGTCAATACAATGGGAATTACCTATGACAGGTTACTATAAAAGTTCTTTAAATATAACACAAATTCCTTTCACAGGGCTCATAATGTCAAATTTGTCAGTCTTTCTATATAGCAAGATTCCAATACTTAAAATATTCCTGCTATGTTTCAGTATTTCTTCTTACTATTTTAAGAACATAGACATTCTGCATCTCTTCCTAATATAAAACTTTTTCAAACCTTCTAAAAGAATCATAACTTATGTATCAGGTCCTTTGCCTGAATTATCTTATTAATCCTCATAATAAAGTAGCCACTGTATACATATTTTTCACAATTTGCATTTATTTGATGTTTAAAATACTAATATTTTTATTAAGTGCTACTAAACAACTTATAAAATGAGGAAGGAATAAGGTATAATAAACCCTCTATTTAGCTACCAACATACCAAAGATTCAATGATCCCATTCATGGTTGCTCCTATACCTGTTGAAATGGACATCTGTTTCAATAGTTCATAGCACAAAATCAGACACTTCTGTAGAGTTTCAGCATCATTCTAAAATAAAATACAACATATTCAGCATTAGTAAGAATATCTTTTGCCTATCCCTTAAATGTTTGCTTTCTCAGAGCTTTGTCACTCAACATATGTATTCCCAGAATGATCCTATCTGGTCATACAGCTTAATTTATTATCTATGAGCTAGCCCAGCTATATTCTAAATTTCAGATTAATATATACAATCGCTACCTTTTGGATAGTCCATAGGCTCCTCGAACTCAACCTATCCAGAAAGGAATCAACTCATTGTTATTCACAACTTTACCCCTCCTGCTCTACCTTCATAATGTCACCACCATGTACAAGTTGTTCACACCAAATAATCTAGGATATATATATATATATATATATATATTTTAAAGATTTATTTGTTTGAAAGGCAGAGTTACAGAGAGGCAGAGGCAGAGGAAGAGAGAGGTTCACTCTCCAGATGGCTGCAAAAGCCAGAACTGCACTAATCCAAAGAAAGGAGCCAGGAACTCCTTCTGGGTCACACCCGTGCGTGCAGGGGCCCATGAATATTGGCCATCTTCTACTGCGTTCCCAGGCCATAGCAGAGGGTTGGATCGGAAGTGGAGCAGCTGGGACTCAAAGTGGCACCCATATGGGGTGCCAGCACTACAGGCAGTGGCTTTACCCACTATGCCACAGCGCCAGCCCCAGGATATATTCTTGACTCTGTCTTCTTCCTATTACCAATTCCCAAATAACCTCTCAAAGCCATTGCTTCTTTCCATGTGCAGTCAGTTCAGCCTGCCATCATCTCAAACCTAAAAAAAGACTCCCAACTATTGTGCCTGTCTACCCCATACTTTCACTCCTTTGTAACATTTCTGAATGAGTGGCCTTATAGAACAGGTAACGAACACTGCCACTTAAAACACTATTAGTTCACCATGAATTCTTGAGTGAGGCCCAAATTATTTAATTTTACTTACATAAGGCCTTACATGACTTGGTCATTACTTTTCTCCCATATTTATTTTTAATGTTTCTGTCAATTCTTTCTTTTTTTTTTAAAGATTTATTTTTATTTATTTCAAAGACAGAGTAAGAGAGAGAGGTAGAGGCAGAGAGAAAGGTCTTCCATCTGCCGGTTCACTCCCCAAATGGCCGCAACAGCCGGAGCTGAGTTGATCCAAAGCCAGAAGCCAGGAGCTTCCTCCGGGTCTCCCACGTGCGTGCAGGGGCCCAAGGACTTTCCTAGGCCATAGCAGAGAGCTAGATCGGAAGAAGAGAAGCCAAGACATGAACCAGTGCCTTTTTGGGATGCTGGTGCCACAGCAGGAGGCTTAGCCTACTATGCCACAGCAATGGCCCCAACACAACAGACCTCTTAACCTTCTGGACTATCACACATGTCATCCAACATGTCTATAACATAACCTTAATAAATTAATAAGCAGCAACCTAGAGCCACAGTTTGGATTTGAATCCTGTCTCTACCATTTACTGTATGTGTGACTTTGGACAAATTACTTGCCATTAATACAATGAAGATAACAGAACCAACCTCACAGGGTCATAATGAGAATTGAACAAATTCACACTTGTTGCACAATCACAGAAAAAGCATCCTTTAACTGTTGGCTTACATTATTCTTATTCAAATCTCAGGTTAAAACATTCTTCTTCTAGGGAAGCCAACAATACTCTATCTGGGTTAGTAACCACTTCACAAAATCTGTATACTTCCCTGATCACAAAGGGACATATAAAAAGTCAAAGAAAGTCAAGTTAAAGAGTTGATATTAATTATAATAGACTACCTTTGCTAATATTTTCTTAATTGAAACCTGTAGTTTGTTATTTTTCAGATAACTTATTTTCAGTATTTACACTATATTTGCTTCTCAAATAATCCATTAAGCTATTGGGTACTGGTTAATTCTCTGCCTGCAGCGCAAGCATCCCATATGGGCACTGGTTCTAGTCCCGGCTGCCCCTCTTCCAATCCAGCTCTCTGCAATGGCCTGGGAGAGCAGTAGAAGATGCCCCAAGACCTTGGGCCCCTGCACCCATGTGGGAGACCAGGAAGAAGCACCTGGCTCCTGGCTTTAGATCAGCGTAGCTCTGGCTGTTGCGGCCACCTGGGGAGTGAACCAACGAATGGTAGACCTTTCTCTCTCTCCGTCTCACTGTCTGTAACTCTACCTCTCAAATAACTAAATAAAATCTTTAGAAAAAATAAGCTATTAACTGAAAATAAAATTCACTCATTGGGAAGATGGGGTGTTGGAGCAGGAATGTTTATCTAGAAGTCAAAGACATAAGTTGTGAAATTCTCCTTTAAACTCTTTTCTGGCACAGCATTTTCTTAACAAGAATACTCCAATCAGCAATTCCAAAACCAAAAGTATAGCAATAAATGTTCATTAGGAAAATTAAGATCCTAAAAGATATGAATTAAAGTTAACAAATATACTAATTGATACCATTATGTTATATATTAAAATAAGTTCACAGGGAAAGAAATAATCCATTTAAAAGATAAATTTAATAAATAAGACTTTTAAAAAAGACTGCTGAAAACTTTAAATGTTATTAGACATCAAATTGAATGTTTTATTAAAAAATAACAAAGCTGCTTAGCTTTTTCTAAAAACATAAGAGTAATTAAGCTTTAAAATACACAAGCATAATGGTATGGTTTCCATAGAAATTCTTTTCCTAGCAGTAGAAAGGATATGGGTCTTCCACAAAAAAGGGAAAGATGAATGCATTTTCCTTCTAACCATTTAAAACAAGAAAAACAGAACTCAGAAGTAAATCACTATGAGGCTAATTTCCCTGGCAAAGAAAAACAACCTTCAGATCCTAAAGATTAGCATGACAAGGGAGCAAATAAATCCCTAACTAAAATAATTACAATTAATTAAAGCCTTTCAAAATCCAAAAATACAAAGGAACAGAAAAAAATTTTTTCATTTTAGTTCATTTTGTAGTTATTAATCCCTCAAAGGTCAATATATTCTGGCAATTTTATGAGTTAAAGAAGATAAGACTTAATTGAGATGATTAATAACAGATACAGATGAGATTTACCATGAAAAATGTATACCTTCTCTATGTGGACTTCTTTAATTTCAAGTTGCTCTGTCTCTTTCAATAGCTTTATTTTGGCATCCTCTAGTGCTTTTATTTCTTCTTTTAATTTTGATGCCTGATTAAAATCTTGTAAAGTAATGCAATTTTCCAAAGCTTCTTTCGCTTCAATAAGTTTAACTTTCATTTCAGCCACCTAAGAAAAGATATAAATTATTTGTTTAAACACGAAACAAAAATTAACATGATTATCTATAGCAAGCTGAAAAGTGTTATCTAATAGCTCAGTAACCAAGAATCTAAGCAGTCAGGCAGATACAAAGTTGTAACCTTCCAGATACAGGGTTCAGCAAGTTGTTCAGAATCACATTTTAGATACTTGTAGTTTAATAATTAATCAATAATTTGACTCTGTGAAAACAATTTCAAAACTAAAACAAGAAGAAATAAGAGTTGCACAACTACATTATATTCAACTCATTATACATTTTTCTAATTTAGAAGACTACCTTGACTTCTTTTTTTCTTGCTTCAGATGGGTCATTAACACCAACAGTAACAATGGGTGCTCGAATCTCCGAAATAACTTCTGTAACCTGATAAGTTATAATTCAGAGTACATGCTTTAACACATTTATATCAGCAAATAATACCAAACCATTATATAAAATTCCAAGTAGTAACCACCATCTATTGAAAAACAGGGCCAAATATACATATAAAAACAGCAGACATGCTATTAGACTATTTGAGAAAAAATAAATAAATAAATAAAAAGACCAAACAATAAATATTTCGGACTAAAACCTAAAACTGCTTGAAGGTAAAATCAATAGGCATATAGACATTGAAGATAAACCACACTTCATGTAAGAATGAATTATGGTGCATAAGACTGATTATAGACATTAGCAACTAAAATTCTCTGCCTAAAATGATCCAACTCCTCCTTTGTTCAGTTCTGTGCAGTTAAGTATAGAAAAACAGTATATTCTTAATTCTTCTTTTCCATACATACAACATAAGGAAATACTTTCCTTTCAGAGCTTCTTGAACTTTGGAGTTGGCTATTTCAGGTAAAAAGCTGTCTCCAGTAAAAGTACTTAAGTGGTTGCTGGATAATGAAAACTAAGGAAGTTGTAGATGTGTAAGTATGTACACATAAGGAGAGGCTGGAAGAGACAACCTCTGAATTAACCTACAAGTCAAATAATATGATTTTATGGAAAAAAAAAAAGATCATACATATCTACCCTCTTGGCTATTCCAAATAAAAAAATTAAAAAAAAAAAAAACTTCAAAAAATAGTATAGTAGATAATACTTATTTGTGTATTTACCAAGCATTTTATGCATATTATCTCAACAATAGAAAAGTAGGTTTCAGTGTTAATCCTATTTTGCAGATAAATAAAGAAGCTAAATAACTTGCCCAAAGTCACAAAGACAAAAAGCATCAAAAGGGCTTTGAACCCAAGTTACATATGACCTGAGCAAACTCTCCAATACCCTAATGTCCAAAGCCTCATGGACAAAACCTCATCCCATTTTTCTCCTCCTCCCAAACCTGGTCCACTTCAAATTCATTCAACACAGTAATAGGCATACTAAAAAGAAAAGATTGACTTGTTTTACTATGTGTATGGGAAGGGGAGAGGCCAGAGAAGGAAATGTGATTTTAAGAAATTTAAAAATTGTTACACAAAACTAAAACAAAGCAAAAACAAAATTAAAAGTTCTAAAAAGAAAACAAACAATCTTCAACGTCAGTTACCAAAACTTTTTATCAGTGAAGAAAATAACTTACAATTTGTGTTCTCTTATTATCATCTATAATGATGTGGAGTAGTCGCTCAACAAGAAAAGAAATTAGGGATATTGGGGTAGTGGGTAAAGTAAGAATTTCCTGTAAAATAGCCAGCAGCCGTTTCCTGCAGTCAAAAAAGAATTAATTTAAATATCACTGACAGAATTCATTTTATCTCTAATAGTCACACACTCCAAAGACTTAATCACATGTCTCTGTTCTCTCCTTTAATCACTATAGGTATAAAAATCCAGATATACAGACTTTAATTCATATTATACAGTACTTGATTTTTATAAACCACTCTATAATCTCCAGTAAATAAACAATGACAAAATACCAGAAATAAATAAACCTCTTATGCAGTAGTACAGCAAGTCCTCTTTGTGATAAAAACCAACAGAGATTTTTAACCAAAAATCCTGCAGTTTATTTACTCCAAAGAAATTGAATGGTACATATATAAGTAACCATACAAACACATATATACATACATACACACACACAGACACACACACACACACACACGGGCAAATAAAGACATTTTGGTCAAGGACAAACCATATATATGATGGTGGTCCCATAAAATAATCTAACAGAGCCAAAAAGTTTCTAATCTTAGTAACACGATAGCAAAGCCACAGTAACATTGTAGCTCAACATATTACTCTGTGGTGTTACTGGTATAAACAACCCTATCTGTCAGTCATATTAAGGCATAGACCATATTATAAAGCACAATATATAATACTTTATAATAATAAATATAATAAATGACCATGTTGCTGATTTATCATTATTTTAGAGCATACTTCTACTTATAAAAAGATTATTTACATTTTTACAAATAATTTTATGATGTTTCACTGGCAGCAGCCTTGTACACATCACATTTACTATGTCTCTTAATTGCACTGAGAGGCCACATCTAGTGATTGGTCTATACCATATAGGTTTGTGTAAAAATACTATATAATGTCCCAACAGCAATGAAACTGACTAACTACATATTTCTTAGAACATTTCCCAACTGTTAAGCAATACATGCTGAATATGGGTGTACACTCCCATATATGGATACACAGGGCTGGTGCTATGGCATAGCAGGAGGGTTAAGCTGCTGCTGGCAGTACCAGCATCCCATGTGGGCACTGGTTCGTGTCCTACCTGCTCTGCTTCCAATCCAGCTCTGTGCTGATGCACTTGGGAGAGCAGAAGATGGCTCAAGTGCTTGTGCCCCTACACCCTCATGCGAGACCCAAAAGAAGCTCCTAGTTCCTGGCTTTGGCCTGGCCCAGTCCCCACCATTGCAGCCACTTGGGAAGTGAACCAGTGGATGGAGGATCTCTCTGTCTCTCCTTCTCTTTCTCTCTTCTATAACTCTACCTTTCAAATACATAAATAAGTATTTTTTTAAAAAGAAAAAAAATAGAAGAAGAAGGAAAAAAAGAAAAATTTTATAGCACTACAGAGACACAACGTAAATATATTTAACCGTATTATAACATGAAAATATTTCAATATAGGAAATTAGAAGAGCAAATTAGAATAAGTGTTAACTTTTAGATATACCTTCCTCCTTCTTCACTGGTATCCAAAGACTTAATAATTAGAATCAACTGTTGACCTATGAACTCTTTTGTCATCAAATTTTCAATATAGGAAAAATCACCCTTCTGTTCTTCATTAACAACAGGAATGCTCTTGATGTAACTGAAACAATAAGTAGAATCTTTTACAAAACATCAAAGAGATGTCAACATATCCCTCCCTCTCTGCCAATATCACTTTCAAATAAATAAAATTAATCTTAAAAAAGAAATTCTGCTCTCACAGGAGGAACTAAGTCTTTACATGACAATTTTCAGTAACTAAAAATTAATTTCCAGAGAATCAGGCCCATAATTCATATTAAATGGAAGCTTTAAAGAAAATGCATTAGGGACAGGCATTGTGGTACAGCAGTGAAGACACCACTTTGGAGTCTCAAAAGATTCAGTTTCCTAATATTGTGCCTAGGAGGCAGCTCAAATACTTTTGCAATACCTCAGCAGAGTTGAGTCCTGATAGAGATGAAAAAACACATGGACCCCAAAATCTTACTATCTGGACATTTCAAAAGAATTTGTCAATAAATTTCACAAAGTAACACATCATTACCAACTTTATGGAGAAATGTTCATATCACATCTAAACAGTCTTGAGGAAACTATCCTAAAAATATTGACTCCGCACTTTCAGTATACTGACTAGCACAAGATATTCTTCAGACTCAATGCATGTCCCCATTTATCCCTGTATATCCAAAAACAGAGGAGTTTTAAAATTTATTTCTAGTTAGATATGATTTTGAGAAAGGAAGCAGACATGTTGACATATGTAGCAACATAAGCACAATCCAAAAAAAAAAATAATAATAACTTTACCTCAGTAAATATTCTGCATATACCACAGGCTCTGGCAAAATCTGTTCCAAAAATTCTTCACCTTCATCTCCTTTTGATTTCAAATGTTCACACAGGGCACGCCAATATAAAGCAATTTCAGGAGTTAAGGTTTCAACTGGAATCAATTTCCTTATGTAAAAGGAAGAGAACACAAGAAAGCCTGAACTTTATATCCAGGTCAAATAACTGAACCGATTATAAAAGTAGGAATAAGAAGCAGATTTGAGTTATAACCATCATTCTTTTAATTACAAAATCATTAATTTAACAAAAATGAATCAAGAACCTTAAAAAAAAAAAAACAAGGAAAGCAGGCATATCATAGAGTTATACATTTTCAGTTTATTTCATGTTATGCTATTGGGATTTCTCATGGAAAGTTAATACCTAAAACACAGTAATAAAATGAAGGAGGAAACACAGCTAAAGTATAGAATCTATGCTAAATCAGTTCTAAAGGGTGGGGTTGGGAGTGGCAGAAGGGAAAAATGATAATCTCAAAATAAAGAAAACAAAAGGAACAGATAAAATGAATGCTTTGTGTACCTGCCATCATTGTTTTTACAGATTCCCACCAGTTCATTGAGAGGAGTCACCGAAAATAAGGCACTGAGGACAGAGATTGCCACTTCGGATGAATTTTCAACATCTAGCCGATGCAGCAATTCTAAGATATTTCCTTCGGTGAATCGCAACCAGCCTTGGAGAAGATGCTTCTTCACTGCGTGTTTCACTGCATCTGTTCAGTCATTTGAAGCATAGGTGAACAAAGGCTCCCTCTAGCTTCCAATTTCTGTATTCTGTCTGCTTCAATTAACTTTCATTAGATCAATGTTAACATAAAGTTAATATTTATGATATAAATAAGTAGAGCTTAAGAGCACATTCAAGGGTCTGCAGTGCCAGCATCCCATATGGGCAGTGGTTCAAAACCCGGCTGCTCTACTTCCTATCCAGTTCTCTGCTAAGGCCTAGGAAAGCAGCAAAAGTTGGCCCAAGTTCTTGGGCCCCTGCACCCACAGAGGAGCCCCAGAAGCTCCTGGCTCCTGGCTTCAGATCAGCTCAGCTCTGGCTGTTAGTCATCTGGTGAATGAACCAGCAAATGGAAAACCTCTCTCTCTCAATGGTTCTATCACTGTAACTGTCTTTCAAATAAATAAAATAAATCTTTTAAAACAAAGAGCACATTAAAGAAAAAAGGTATAATGATATTGCAGAGGTCACTATTATGCTCACTTCCAAATAAAAATGGAGAAGGTTCAGCACTAAATTCCAACCACTACTCCAGCCTACTCCTCCTCCTCCAGATTCAAAAAGGGGCTTCAGGTGTTAGTCTAGTAAATATAATATGTATTATTTTATTTGTTGCTTGACTTCATCTACTACATATGATTATTATTTGGCACAGTACATCATACATCACTGAACAAATCTTATTCTTAGCTTTCTATATATTTTTTAAGTTTATTTGAGAAGCAGAGAGAAAGGCAGGGACAGAGTGAGTGTTCCCATCCCAATTTACTTCCCAAATGGCTGCAACAGTCCCCAGCCAGAGATGAAACCAGAGCCAGGAACCCAGAGTCTCCCAAATAGGTGGTAAAACCCTAATTACTTGAGCTATCATCACTGTCTCAAAGAGTCTGCATTAGCAGAAAGCTAGAGTCAGGAGATAAAGGCAAGAATCAAATCCAGATACTCCAATGTGGGATGCAGGCATCTTACCCACTAGGCTAAACACTGGCCCTTAGTTTTGGCTTTTAAGATCATCCTAGTCATTAGTTCCCTGAGAATGTTTTCAAACTCAAATTGATTTTCTTGCCAAAGCAAAATTAAGCCATCTTTTCTCATGTGAGTTACAAATTTTAAAAATATTCCTATAAATACACTCTCTAGTTTAACAGGAGGGGTGGAAAAAACTAGGAAAACTACTAGTCTGACTATACCTAATTCTTGTTTCTGATGCACAGAACACATAAACAAAAATAGAATGTTTTAAAGAGAAAATGTGAACAAAAAGAAATCCTAATGCACATGAACTATACAGACTTAAGTATAGCTTTCTTCATCTGTAAACACAGATGAAATACCAAGATCTTTAACCCTAGGATATATTTTCTATGTAATAAACAAAAATAAGCTTCACTATGTTTATAGGAATGATAGGCTTCCTCAACCTATTTTATGACATTTATTTCCTAAGCCTTATTAAGCCTGACCTCAAAAGAAACTAAAGTTTTAGATATAAAGATGTGTATCTTACCTGATCTGTCATTAAGACCTTGTTGAAGAAGCATGACTCTCTGAGCAATGGACATAGCTCTCATATGAACCTTTTCAGCTAAAACCTTGAAAAGATAATAAGATGGTGATCAAACAACACAATTTGTAGATCAGATAACTAGTCATATTACCTTAATCTTAGAAAATTACCCAGAATCTCAAAAAATTTACATTAAATTATTTAATACGGTAAGATTCCACCTAAATTACCTATATTCTACTTCAAAATTTTTTCGTACAATTTTTTTCAATTTATTTGAAAGGCAGAGAGAATGAGAAATCTTCTACCCACAGGTTCACTCAAGGAAAAGTCTGGAACTCAGCCGGCACTGTGGCTCAGTAGGCTAATCCTCCACCTGCGCGCCAGCACACCGGGTTCTAGTCCCAGTAAGGGCGCCGGATTCTGTCCGGGTTGCTCCTCTTCCAGTCCAGCTCTCTGCTGTGGCCCTGGAGCGCAGTGGAGGATGGCCCAAGTGCTTGGGCCCTGCACCCCATGGGAGACCAGGAGAAGCACCTGGCTCCTGGTTTCGGATCAGCGCGGTGCGCTGGCCGCAGTGACCACTGAGGGGTGAACCAACGGAAAAGGAAGACCTTTCTCTCTATCTCTCTCACTGTCCACTCTGCTTGTCAAAAAAAAAAAATTAAAAAAAAGGAAAAGTCTGGAACTCAATCTGGGTCTCTCACATGAGTAGCAGGGACCCAACTACTTAAGCTGCCTCCCAGTATGTGCATTACCAAGAAGCCATAATCAGAAGCAGAGCGAGGTGGAGCCAAGATGGCGGAATAGTGAGGGCGCGCACAGATAGTCTGGGAAAAGATAGTTTAATAAAAGTGGAGTTATGGTAGCCTCAGGAAAAGGATCAGGGAAAAATCAGAGCAAACTCTTCCGGATCTAGTGGCTGTGACTCGGAGGACCTACGGGGAGAGCAAGGTTGCCCTCCGCGTGGAAGCCGAGCCACGGGAGCAGCAGGACCCGCCAGACCCACCGAGTCTGTGCGCCAGCGCTGGAAGGGGAGGTGAGACAAAAACCTCTCGGTAACCCGAGACATTGGCGGGGAAAGGCAGAAAGAGCCTGCAGAGAACGAGGCCTGAAACCCCATTGGGGAAAGTTCACCAGGCTGGCCAGAGGAGAGAAAAAAATCGAATAAATAAGGGGAACCAGCACAGACATTTAGCCTCTCTCTCCACTCACCTTACAAAGCTGAGCAAGACAAAGGGCAGGCGCCATTTTACATAAGTAAAGTGGTGCCTGACATTTTGCATATGTAAAGCAGTGCCCCTCATTAGCCAAGCAGAAAAACCTGACTCTGGTAAGCAAACAAATACCCACAGGAGCCAGATTTCATACATCAACTACTCTCAATTCCACTCAGCAGTGTGGAATTACTTCCCAACTGAGTCAAAAAAAAAAAAAAAAAAAAAAAAAAAAGAGAGAGAGAGAGAGAGCAAGAGCAAGAGAAAGCAAGAGAACAATCAGGGTGAATCATCTCTGGCACACCCTTAACCCTGAAGAACCAGAGCTCTCTGGCCACACCCATCACAGCCTCTAAGGATCCATCAAAAGCAGACAGCCCTCTTAATCTAGAGTCACAGTATAATGAGAAAAAAACAAAGAATATCTCCAATATGCCAAACAAACGCAAAAGCCGAGGTAACAAGAACAAGGAAGACACTATGACGCCCCCAAATGAAATAGACACCCCAATTCAAGATTATGAAGATGATGAGATAGAAGAAATCAAGAAGCGGATCTCAAAAAATTGATAAGAACATTAAGAAGTTCTCAAAAACAAATTCTCGAACTACAGAAATCCTTAATGGACAAGATAGAAAATCTCTCTCGTGAAAATGATATATTAAGGAGGAATCGAAATGAAATGAAACAACTAGTACAACAGGAAACTGTGATAGTGATGAGAAATCATAATGAAGTGAAGAATTCAATAGATCAAATGACAAACACATTAGAGAGCCTTAAAAACAGAATGGGTAAAGCAGAAGAGAGAATATCAGACTTAGAGACAGAGCACAGGAAAATATACAATCAAACCAAAGAAAAGAAGAGGAAATTAGAAATCTAAAAAATATTGTCGGGAATCTTCAGGATACTATTAAAAAACCCAACATTCGGGTTCTAGGAGTTCCTGAAGGCATGGAGAGGGCGAAAGGATTAGAAGGCCTTTTTAGTGAGATACTAGCAGAAAATTTCCCAGGTTTGGAGAAGGACAGAAACATTCTAGTACAGGAAGCTCATAGAACCCCTAATAAACATGACCAAAAGAGATCCTCACCACAACACGTTGTAATTAAACGCACCACAGTGAAACATAAAGAAAAGATCCTAAAATGTGCAAGAGAGAAACGTCAGATTACTCTCAGAGGATCTCCAATCAGACTCACAGCTGACTTCTCATCAGAAACCCTACAAGCTAGGAGGGAATGGCGAGATATACCCCAGGTACTAAGAGAGAACAACTGCCAGCCCAGAATATTATATCCTGCTAAGCTCCAATTTGTGAATGAAGTTGAAATAAAGACCTTTCACAACAAAAAGAAATTGAAAGAATTTGTCACCACTCATCCAGACCTGCAAAAGATGCTTAAAGATGTGTTACACACAGAAACACGGTCATCAATATTAAAGAAGGTAAATGAAGGAAATCTCACAGCAAAAGATCACAGGAAGTTCAAAACATATATCAGAAAATATCTTTGGCAAATGGCAGGGCAAAGCTACTACTTATCAATAGTCACATTGAACGTGAATGGCCTGAACTGTCCAGTTAAAAGACACCGATTGGCTGATTGGAACAAAACCCATCTATTTGCTGCTTACAAGAAACGCATCTTTCCAATAAAGATCCATACAGACTGAAAGTGAAAGGCTGGAAAAAGATATACCATGCCAACAGAAATGAAAAAAGAGAGGGCGTAGCCATCTTAATATCGGACAACATAAATTTTACCATAAAAACTGTTAGGAGAGACAAAGGGGGAACACTATATGATGATTAAGGGATCAATTCAACAGAAAGATATAATGATTATCAATTTATATGCACCTAATTACAGGGCACTGGTTTATTTAAAAGATTTGTTAAGGGACTTAAAGGAAGACTTAGACCACAATACAATAGTACTGGGGGACTTCAATACCCCACTCTCAGAAATAGATCAACAGGACAGAAGATCAACAAGGAGACAGTAGATTTAAATGACACTATAGCCCAAATGGATCTAACATATATATACAGAACTTTCAATCCTACAGCTAAAGATTTTACATTCTTCTCAGCAGTACATGGAACCTTCTCTAGGACTGACCACATACTAGGCCATAAAGCAAGTCTCAGAAAATTCAAAAGAATTAGAATCATACCATGCAGCTTCTCAGACCATAAAGGAATGAAGTTGGAAATTAGCAACTCAGGAATCCCTAGAGCATACGCAAACACATGGAGATTGAACAACATGCTCCTGAATGAACAATGGGTCATAGAAGAAATAAAAAGAGAAATCAAAAATTTTCTGGAAGTAAATGAGGATAACAGCACAATATACCAAAACTTATGGGATACAGCAAAAGCAGTGTTAAGAGGAAAGTTTATATCAATAGGTGCCTACATCAAGAAATTAAAAAGGCACCAAATAGATGAGCTTTCAATGCATCTCAAGGATCTAGAAAAACTGCAGCAAACCAGACCCAAATCTGGTAGGAGAAGAGAAATAATTAAAATCAGAGAAGAAATCAACAGGATTGAATCAAGAAAAACATTACAAAAAAATCAGCCAAACGAGGAGCTGGTTTTTTGAAAAAATAAACAAAATTGACACCCCATTGGCCCAACTAACTAAAAAAAGAAAAGACCCAAATCCATAAAATCAGAGATGAAAAAGGAAACGTAACAACAGACACCACAGAAATAAAAGAATCATCAGAAATTACTACAAGGACCTGTATGCCAGCAAACAGGGAAACCTATCAGAAGTGGATAGATTCCTGGACACATGCAACCTACCTAAATTGAACCAGGAAGACATAGAAAACCTAAACAGACCCATAACTGAGACAGAAATTCATACAGTAATAAAGGCCCTCCCAACAAAGAAAAGCCCAGGACCAGACAGATTCACTGCTGAATTCTACCAGACATTTAAAGAAGAACTAACTCCAATTCTTCTCAAACTATTCAGAACAATCGAAAAAGAGGGAATCCTCCTAAATTCTTTCTATGAAGCCAGCATCACCTTAATTCCTAAGCCAAAAAAAGCAGCAGCATTGAAAGAGAATTACAGACCAATAGCCCTGATGAACATAGATGCAAAAATCCTCAATAAAATTCTGGCCAATAGAATGCAACAACACATCAGAAAGATCATCCATCCAGACCAAGAGGGATTTATCCCTGGTATGCAGGGATGGTTCAACATTCGCAAATCAATCAATGTGATACACCACATTAACAGACTGCAGAAGAAAAACCATATGATTATCTCAATAGATGCAGAGAAAGCATTTGATAAAATACAACATCCTTTCATGATGAAAACTCTAAGCAAACTGGGTAGGGAAGGAACATTCCTCAATACAATGAAAGCAATTTATGAAAAACCCACGGCCAACATCCTATTGAATGGGGAAAAGTTGGAAGCATTTCCACTGAGATCTGGTACCAGACAGGGATGCCCACTCTAACCACTGCTATTCAATATACTTCTGGAAGTTCTAGCCAGAGCTATTAGGCAAGAAAAAGAAATTAAAGGGATACAAATTGGGAAGGAAGAACTCAAACTATCCCTATTTGCAGATGATACAATTCTTTACTTAGGGGACCCAAAGAACTCTACTAAGAGACTATTGGAACTCATAGAAGAGTTTGGCAAAGTAGCAGGATATAAAATCAATGCACAAAAATCAACAGCCTTTGTATACACAGATAATACCACAGCTGAGAAAGAACTTCTAAGATCAATCCCATTCACAATAGCTACAAAAACAATCAAATACCTTGGAATAAACTTAACGAAGGATGTTAAAGATCTCTACGATGAAAATTACAAAACCTTAAAGAAAGAAATAGAGGAGGATACCAAAAAATGGAAAAATCTTCCATGCTCATGCATTGGAAGAATCAATATCATCAAAATGTCCATTCTCCCAAAAAGCAATTTACAGATTCAATGTGATGCCAATCAAGATACGGAAGAAAAAATGATGCTGAAATTCATATGGAGACACAGGAGACCTCGAGTAGCTGAAGCAATCTTGTACAACAAAAACAAAGCCGGAGACATCACAATACCAGATTTCAGGACATACTACAGGGCAGTTGTTATCAAAACAGCATGGTACTGGTACAGAAACAGATGGATAGACCAATGGAACAGAATAGAAACACCAGAAATCAATCCAAACATCTACAGCCAATTCATATTTGATCAAGGATACAAAACCAATCCCTGGAGTAAGGACAGTCTATTCAAAAAATGGTGCTGGGAAAACTGAATTTCCACGTGCAGAATCACGAAGCAAGAATCCTACCTTTCACCTTACACAAAAATTCACTCAACATGGATTAAAGACTTAAATCTACGACCCGACACTATCAAATTATTAGAGGGCACTGGAAAAACCCTGCAAGATATAGGTACTGGCAAAGACTTCTTGGAAAATACCCCAGAAGCACAGGCAGTCAAAACCAAAATTAACATTTGGGATTGCATCAAATTGAGACGTTTCTGTACTTCAAAAGAAACAGTCAGGAAAGTGAAGAAGCAACCGACAGAATGGGAAAAAATATTTGCAAACTATGCAACAGATAAGGGTTGATAACCAGAATATACAAAGAAATCAAGAAACTCCACAACATCAAAACAAACAACCCACTTAAGAGATGGGCCAAGGACCTCAATAGACATTTTTCAAAAGAGGAAATCCAAATGGCCAACAGACACATGAAAAAATGTTCAAGATCACTAGCAATTAGGGAAATGCAAATCAAAACCACAATGAGGTTTCACCTCACCCCAGTTAGAATGGCTCACATGCAGAAATCTACCAATAGATGCTGGAGAGGATGTGGGGAAAAAGGGACACTAACCCACTGCTGGTGAGAATGCAAATTGGTTAAGTAACTATGGAAGTCAGTCTGGAGATTCCTCAGAAACCTGAATATAACCCTACCATACAACCCAGCCACCCCACTCCTTGGAATTTACCCAAAGGAAATCAAATTGGCAAACAAAAAAGCTGTCTACACATTAATGTTTATTGCAGCTCAATTCACAATAGCTAAGACCTGGAACCAACCCAAATGCCCATCAACAGTAGACTGGATAAAGAAATTATGGGACATGTACTCTATAGAATACTATACAGCAGTCAAAACAATGAAACCCGGTCATTTGCAACAAGATGGAGGAATTTGGAAAACATTATGCTGAGTGAATTAAGCCAGTCCCAAAGGGACAAATATCATATGTTCTCCCTGATCGGCGACAACTAACTGAGCACCAAAGGGGAAACTTGTTGAAGTAAAATGGACACTATGAGAAACAGTGACTTGATCAGCTCTTGTCCTGACTGTTGATGTACAATGTAATACTTTCTCCATTTTAGTATTTTTTTTTTTGTTCTAGTACTATTGGTTGAACTCTGTAATTAACACACAATTAATTATTCTTAGGTATTTAAATTTTAACTGAAAAGTGATCCCTGTTAGGAATTTGGAAAACATTATGCTGAGTGAAATAAGCCAGTCCCAAAGGAACAAATACCACTTGTTCTCCTTGATAGGTGACAACTAACTGAGCACCAAAAAGGAAACCCGTTAAAGTGAAATGAACATTATGAGAAACAGTGGTAACTTGATCAGCCCTCGCCCTGACTGTTGATGAACAGCTTAATACGTTATCCCTCTTAGTTTTTTTTTGTTTGTTTGTTCTACTTAATACTTTTGGTTGAATACTGTAATCAATACACAATTATTCTCAAGTGTTGAAACTTAACTGAAAAGTGATCACTGTTAAATATAAGAGTGGGAATAAGAGAGGGAAGAGATGTGCAATTCGGGACATACTCAAGCTGACTTACCCCAAACGGTAGAGTTAGAAACATACCAGGGGATTCCAATTCAATCCCATCAAGGTGGCATGTACCAATGCCATCTCACTAGTCCAAGTGATCAATTTCAGTTCACAATTGATCATAATGATAGGACTAAGAGCCAAAGGGATCACATAAACAAGACTAGTGTCTGCAAATACTAGCTGATAGAATAAAAAAGGGAGAGAACGATCCAACATGGGAAGCGAGATACACAGCAGACCCATAGAATGGCAGATGTCCTAAACAGCACTCTGGCCTCAGAATCAGCCCTTAAGGCACGCGGATCTGGCTGAAAAGCCCATGAGAGTATTACAGGCATAGAAAGCCAAAACACTCCGGCAAAAAAAAAAAAAAAAAAAAACTAAATAAAAGATCTCCGAGAGTGCGATCCCAGTGGAAAGAACAGGTCATCAAAGAAGGAGGTACCTTTCTCTGAAGGGAGAGAACTTCCACTTTGACTACAACCTTGTCTAAATATGATCAGAGTTGGTGAACTCAAAAGACTTCCATAGCCTTGGCAACTCATGACAAGAGCCTAGGGTGATTACTGATGCCATAAACAAGAGTGTCAATTTGTAAAGTCAACAACAGGAGTCACTGTGCACTTACTCCTCATGTAGGATCTCTGTCCTTATTGTGCTGTACATTGAGATTTAATGCTATAACTGTACTCAAACAGTATTTTTTACTTTGTGTTTCTATGTGGGTGCAAACTGTTGAAATCTTTACTTAATATATGCTAAACTGATCTTTTGTATATAAAGAGAATGGAAAAAGAATCTTGATGTGAATGGAAGTGGGGAGAGAGAGGAAAAGGGAGGGATGTGGGTGGGAGGGAAGTTATGGGGGAGGGGAAGCCATTGTAATCCATAAGGTGTACTTTGGAAATTTATATTTATTAAATAAAAGTTAAAATAAAAAAAAAGAAGCAGAGCACTCTTGATAAGGAACATGGGCAACCCAGCAACATCATATCACTCTGCTAAATGTGCAACCCTTCATTAAAATCTAATCACAAAAATCATTATTGTCTATCAAGTATTTTTCAAAAGCACTTCAAGAAAATGGCTTCTTTTAAGAATATACGTACAGGCCAGCGCCGCAGCTCACTAGGCTAATCCTCCACCTGCGGCACCAGCACACCGGGTTCTATTCCCGGTAAGGGCGCTGGATTCTGTCCGGGTTGCTCCTCTTCCAGTCCAGCTCTCTGCTGTGGCCTGGGAGGGCAGTGGAGGATGGCCCAGGTTCTTGGGCTCTGCACCCACATGAGAGACCAGGAGAAACACCTGGCTCCTAGCTTCGGATCAGCATGGTGCGCCGGCTGTGGCATGCCGGCCACAGCAGCCAATGGGGGGGTGAACCAATGGAAAAAAGACCTTTCTCTTTATCTCTCTCTCTCTCACTGTCCACTCTGCCTATCAAAACAAACAAACAAACAAACAAATATGCCTACAGAAGATCCTGGACTGACTTACCTGATAAGCCAGCTTTCTGACAGCTTCTTTCACATCTTTAGTGCGTCCTACAATTTTTGGCAAAGTCTTTGCTGATGGTGCAATACATGATAATACTGCCCGCCTCACTTCTGGGTTTGAATCATTTTCAATCAAAGTAGTATATGCTAAAAATAAAACAATATGCTTTAATAATACAGAAATTACTTAACAATCACAAAATCGCCCACATTCTGATATTTTTAAAGTTTTTAAAATGATAAAAATATCATTTTCTATTCTCACACTTTAATTTTAGTTAAAAAAATTTTTTTCTACTAACCTCCCTTCTAAGGATAGAATGAGAAATTAGTTAATGGACTGGGCATGAAAGCTAAAACTGAAAACAAATAGCACTAAAAAGACATAAAAAATCTATAAAATTATGTTTTTTTGTAATCCTCAACATCTAGCAATAAGCTTAGGACATTATTAGGCATTATTTTAAACAGATAAGGTTTTATAAAGGTTCATTATTTTGATTTTTTAGTAAGTTCTAAAAAGAAATAGTTTCTAGCATTACTCAGTGAAACAAAATCTGCTTCTCATATTTAAACATTCATTCACCTGTACTTCTCACATCTTCTGTTTTTATTATTAAGACATATAGACTATCAAACATGTTTTGGGCAGTATTACTCTATGAATCATTTAATATTAAAATATATTGATTATAAAATTGGTAAGAAAGACAAAAAACAATGAAATGTATGTGTGTACAAAATATACCTAGGCATATATGGAAAAACTAAAGATGATTTATCTTTATGACCCCATAGATAAAGGTCTCTTAAATAACAGATTAAAAAGCATAAATTCTAACAGCAGAGATTAAGCATTAGATTTTCTGTTAAACAAAAGATACCCCACAGCCTTCAGAAGAAGCAATTTACAATTCATATAACCTAAAAAATTCCTTTTCAGAATAAATAATTCTAATAAATCAATTAAAAATTATTTTTTAAATTAAAAGCCCAGAAGAAAAAGGAGTAAAACACATTAACAGGCACTATAGAAAAACACAGTCACAAGACATTGAACAACATTTTGTTCAAGGACAGCCATATATTAGATAGTACTTCAAATTATAATGGGGCTGAAAAAGCTCGCATAGTGACACTGTAGCCATCCCAATGTCAGCACTAGACACTCATTTATTTGTGGTGATGCCAGTCATACAATATCATCCTTCCAGTCACAGAAAAATATAGCACATACAATTGAGTACAGAATATAAAACTATAATAATGATAATAAATGATGTTACTGGCTTATGTATTTACCACACTGTATTTTCACTGTTAGAGGACTTTTTATAGTTAACAAAAAAAAAAAAAAAAAAAAAAAGGTTACAGACAGGTGTTTGGTCTACTATTGCTTAGGATGACTACATCCCATATCAGAGTTTTTGGGTTTAAGCTTCCTGGTAATACACACCCTGGAAGCAGCAGGTGATGGCTCAAGTCACTGAGTCCATGTCACCCACATGGGAGACTTCGCTCAAGTTCCTGGCCCCTGGCTCTCAGCTTTGGCTAATATGGGCATTTAGGTAATAAATGAAAAGGTTGGGAGTGAACTCTATCAGATTCTCTTTCAAAGAATAAAAAAATTTTTTAAGATTACTGTGAAACAGTATGCCATGTTACACAGTAGCAGTTTCATAATCTCATCTCTTGATCAAGAGGCCTCACTGGGTGACTGACCTATACCATCTATGTTTGTGTAAATACATCTTATAATTTTTTGCAATGAAGAAATTACCTAACAACCTATTTATCAGAACATGTCCCTGTCATTAATCAATTCATGAATAATTAACTACTAAATATATGAAATACAGTAAAAAAATTAGTGTATCAATATGAATGGATGCTAGAATTACAAATATATTGAGAAAAATATAGTATGATCCACATAAAAAGATAGACAAAAGTTAATATTTAGATATATGTAATTAAGTTGTCAAACTAGATTCTTAATAAAAATTTTTTTAAGTATGAAAATAATTAGCCCAAAGTTAAAGATAACAGTTACCTCTGGCGGAGAAGTATACAACTGGAGAGAGATGATGTGAAGCAAGATTCAAAGGTACTAATGATATTCTACTGTTTTAATATGAGTGGTTCTTACTTGGACATCTTTTATTATTTAAACTTTATTGTTTATATCTTATTTTTATTTTATATTTGTACTTTGATCTTTATATTTTAAATCTCATTATTTAAATCATATATTCACTACCTACACTCTTCCATATACAGACATACATGTACTTCATAATAAAAAAATTCAACAACTAAAAATTTTTAAAAATCAACAAAACCGAAAAAATTTAGGAAACTAAACATACCATCAATCACCGGACATTCATCATCCTTAGGATCCTGAAGTCGTGAAAGAGCCAGAACTGCCTGTATTCTCACATTTGGAATCTTATCCTTTAATCTAATAAGCATAGCTTCATTAATTTTATCAAACAAATGATCATCAATCTGGGCATTTTCTGGCATACTTCCCAAAAGCTTGTTTATGAGCTGGCATACTCTAAATCTGACTGCATTGCTATTTGCTTCATGAGACTAAAACAGAAACAAATCAAAATTTATTCACTCATATCATTTTTAAGCAATGCATATGACTTGAACTTTCTATAAGAATTTACAACAGTAACTCCTTAGTTGCAGAAGTGGTTAACGATCACGGTGCAGTAAATAGATATTTTGTATATAATCAAACACAGCCTAGAAGAAATATTTGCTATAACAACACATTGCTCTTGGGGCACTGCCCTGGCTCACTTGGTTACTCCTCCGCCTGCCGAGCCAGCATCCCATATGGGCGCCAGTTCTAGCCCCGGTTGCTCCGCTTCCAGTCCAGCTCTCTGCTGTGGCCAGGCAGGGCAGTGGAGGATGGCCCAAGTGCTTGGGCCCCTACACTGCATGGGAGACTGGGAAAAAGCACCTGGCTCCTGGCTTTGGATTGGCGCAGCACGCCGGATCCAGCAGCCATTTGGGGAGTGGAACCAATGGAAGGAAAACCTTTCTCTGTCTCTCTCTGTCTATTTTGCCTGTCAAATAAAAACAAATAAATAAATAAGAACAAATTGCTCTTTTAGGAACTCTTACTTTATTTCTAAAATAAATAACTCATTTAAAACAAACATGTAACAAAGGGTTGAGAAGTCATTAAAAATTTAATGCTGGAGTCTTTTGGGGTTTTTTTGGACAGAGTGGACAGTGAGAGAGACAGACAAAGAAAAAGGTCTTCCTTTCCCGTTGGTTCACCCCGCCCCCCGCACTGGCTGCTGTGGCCAGCGGGCTGCAGCCGGTGCACCACGCTGATCTGAAGCCAGGAGCCAGGTGCTTCTCCTGGTCTCCCATGCGGGTGCAGGGCCCAGACACTTGGGCCATCCTCCACTGCACTCCAGGGCCACAGCAGGGAGCTGGACTGGAAGAGGAGCAACCCGGACAGAATCCTGTGCCCTTACCGGGACTAGAACCCGGTGTGCTGGCGCCGCAGGTGGAGGATTAGCCTAGTGAGCCGCAGCGCAGCTTACTGGAGTCATTTTTTAAGAAACACTTTTTAATCTTAATGATAGTTCTACTATTTCCTATAAAAAGTCAGATGCTTTCTCAATCACCAGACATTTCATTGTCTACAATGTATAAACTTTACGGTAAAACCTTCTACAACACTTCTCCAAGGTGTTAGCTTTCAACATACCTGTAAGAGAAAAGTAAACAAATAATTTAAAATGCCACCATCCTCCTCTTCTTCATCATCTTCCATATCTGATTGGTGAAAGGAAGTAACAAACTTTGCTGCAAATTCTATTACTCTCTCCACAGCTGGCTCACGTTTATAGATCACCATAGCATACTTAAGGTAATGGATGAACTCCTCATGAAAAACTGTTTTATCATTCATCTGAAAGACAAAAGATAACTTGCACGAACTGAACTGCACTGGTAATACTTTTTTTCAAAACATTACCTTAACATTGCTGACAGCACCGGCCCTAATTCAAACGAAAAACTTTTTTGTAAACTCTGAAGTATCCACACCAGCAAAAAGGGAAAAATAAGCTTGCACAAACTTCTCTCCACGATGTAATTTGCTTCCCCCAAAGAGTCTGCAACCATAAATTTTGACAGTGAATGGACTCTTTTGATACTTCTTTACATGTCTTTAGAATCACGTTAGTAGAAGCATGCTTCTTCATGGAAAAACTCAAAACCTACGCTGGCTTTTTTATGTACCGTATTTAATTTGCTCATCACCCCGCAATTCCTTTTTGATAAAACTTTCACATCCTACCTCATATCCTCAAAGCCCTTGCTATACTTAGTTTTTCTTAGACTTCAAGATAATCTATCTTCCGAGCTTCATTGTCCTGTTCTTCCCACGGCTTCACTCAAAACAAACACACGGTATTTAGGTGAACAGGAAGGGAAAGGTCCTCGCGAGTAATCTGCTTGGACGCTGGACTCAATTTGACATAGGGCGGGATGAGACTGATTTGATGATGGCTGGCTTTTCTGCTGTGAGCGGGGGCCCGACGGGCAAGGACCACCGAGCCTTGGGGTCCACGACCTACTCGGCGACCCGACACTGAGAGCCCGGACGCCTCGGGTCACCCTCCGGACTAACGGTTCGCGCCGCCCCCATCTCCGGCCGGGGGTAAGGACCGCGAAGAGAAAGTGGACGGCGCCAGGGCTTCCAGCCATTCTGGGCGAGTCGCCCGACCTCTCCGTACTTCACTCCAAAGCGGCTCGCCACAGCGGAGGAGGAGGAGTCGCGCGGGCCGAGTCCGAAGGGTCCCGGGGAAGCTCCTGGGGGAGGCTGAGCCAAGGCAGGGCTGGGCGAAGGCGGCGAAGGGCCCACAGCCATTCCGGCGCTTACCGTGCCGTAGGTGCGGCTCAGCGCCACCACCAGCTTCGCCTGGTTCTGGTGCGGCTGCTGCGCCAGCTGAAAGGCCTCCTTAACCGGCAGCACTCTCTTTTCCGCTCCCATGGCGAGGTGACCCGGCCAGGACTATCCTTGCCCGCTTCAGTGCTTCTGGCCCGACCGCCCCAACACCGAATTCTCCTCAGAACGCCACTTGGGGCGTGGTTACCCGCCAGAACGTTCAAATAACTCTCGCGAGAGAAGGAAATACCGCGAGACTTCCGCGAGCGCGCCAGAGGCGAGAGCGGAGAGAACCGAATCCTGTCCCTCTGGCTCTGCCCGCGCTTTGAGCGCATGCGCGTCGGGTGTTTCCCGGTGGGAAGTGGCGTTTCTAAGGAGAGGGGGCGTTGGCTTGGCCGGAAGTGGTGTCGTCAGGGAGGGCTGGCGGAGCTGCTGTTCTACTTTCGGGACAGGGCTGGTGGCGCTAGGCCTAGCGGGATCGTGCGTCTGGTGGTGAGACGAGAAAAAAAGCTCCTCCATGGGTGAGAACAGGGATCTGCTGAGGGGAACAATCTGTGTTCCCGCCGCAGGGGCGGGAGATGCGGAGAGGAGGGGGAGATGGGGCGTTCGGGAAGCCCGGACCGCAGCCCGGCTGCTCGTGAGCGGGGAGACGCTCCCCGGTAGGCTGAGGGAGGCGTTCCGAGGTCTCCACGGGCCGCGGTCTCTCCAGGGCCCGAGGGGCTGACGTCTGGAAGCAGCGTATGATTTTATTTAGCTGAGCTGGCTCGGGACGTGCCAGCTTTCAAAGCTTAGTTTACAGTCCTGCGTAGCTACAGTGTGTTAAAGGAGAACGGAGAGAATGGGAAAATCTAGCTAAGTGGTCACGGTGAGGAACAGGAACTCAGTCTTTAAAACCTTTTTTGGGGGAGAAAAGTGAAACTGCGTCAGACAAAAACGAATACTTTTATTGGGGGCTGCTTAGGACAAACCACCCCAAAACATGACAGTAGGAGACGAGAACATGCCTCTCTAAAATATACTTGCTGGGCTTATTTTGAGCTGTTATAAGGAACTGCCAGCTCTGGAGGAGCTGTGAAAAGCTATCCTTGAAGTTAGGTCTGTCAAAGAAATTAGGAGACTACTGAACTATCTGTATCTGGAAGAGGACTCCTTCAGACTTCTGTTCTCTGCTGATCTATAGTCCCCACACGTTTCCTCTTTGCACCCTCTCATAACTTGTGTCACCACCTCCCAACCAGAAACCCGGTTGCTTTGTGTAGCCCAGGATATTCCATAAGTGTAAGCTGTCATCTCTTTTTCTGGGACTCCTGTCCCTTACTTGTTGTTGTTGTTGTTGTTGTTGTTTCTGTTGAATCTGTCTTAGGGCAACTTCACTGGTAGACCAGCCAAAGAACCTAGGAAGTTGGAGGGAAGACATTTCTCCCTCCTGTTCCTCAGTATGTAGCCATAACCACCTGAAGAAATAGACCCTTACAAAGCTGCCTGTGCATCTTGCTCCTTTTGAGTTGTCTTCCCTCTCTAGAAATAACACTTTTAGACTTTACTGTTAACTTTTAGAGAACAAAAGCTTTCTATATTATGGACATATAGATAAATCATTGAATGAATGTATTCTACTGTTTTGTGTTTTAACCATTTTATGAAGAATCATAATGTTCATGGATTTGTTCAGGTTATGGATAAGATAGCATTTGGATTGCCCATAATTTTGAAATTATTGAGATGTCTTAATTTCTGAAAAGACAAGATGGGTATTCTAGGTTAATCAGTTAAAGCAAACGCATAGAGGCTTAAGAGTGCATGGAATATACTGTTAACACTTACAGTCTCCCTAGCAATGAAATATGTACAGCCTGGAGAGCTTAATGAAATAGAAAGCTAGAAAGGGTATTAATTTCTTATCTAAATATATCCAAAATAAGAATTATTTATCTGAGTGGCAGAGAGAGAGAGAGATCACATCTATTCCCCAGATGCCCACAACAGCCAACTGGGCTGTGGCTGGGCTGAGAATACAATCAGGTCCCCTGTGTGAATGGCAGGAACCCAGTTACTGGATAAATCACTACTACCTACCAGGGTCTGTATTAGCTGGGGACTGGAGTAAGGAACTGGAGCTGGAATAGAACTTGGGTTTGGGAGATACTTATCTGAACCATTAATCTAAATGCCCACTCCCAGTAACATGAATTACTAACAAGATAAGTTAACATTCTTGTTTTTCTTACCAAGGCTAAGAATTTGTATCTTATTTACACTAGCCACATTTCAAAGACTGAGTAGGCACCTGGGACTGTTGGCTACGGCATTGGACAGCACAGAACTATTCTATACTTTGAGAACCACTGCATATGTCATTTGTTCTTAACGTAAGGTCAGTTAGTAAACTAACAGTCAGTGATATTTTTCTTATTTTGTGGCATTTAATTGCTCAGCTTTAGGTTCCTGCTAACTTTGTTGTTTTGTTTGTAAACTCTCCAATATTTCTTTACTATATTTTATTTTGAGTATCTCAACCATGAGTATAAATTGTTTTGTCAGTTACTGGCCACCAGAGGTCAGCCCAACCATATTTAAACTAACTTTATTATGATTAATGCCATATGTTTTTGTTTAATAATTTTTGAACATTATAATCTGAAAAAAATTTAAACATACTAGATAAACTTAAACATAGTCTCATTGCCTAAAAGCTTATATGCTTCTCGACTTTTGCTTTTAATGCTGTGGAAAAGAACAACAAATAATAGCAAGTGTGGGAATAAATTCCTTCCTTCCTGGGTGAACTTAGTTTAGTTGATTTATAAAAACTTAAGAATATATATGCTGAGGCTATTTAATTCTGAAACTTCAAAAGTTAATCTTTAAAGGTAAATTAATTATACATAGAAGTATATAGAATAGGCCGGCTCCGCAGCTTAATAGGCTAATTCTCCGCCTGTGGCGCTGGCACCCCAGGTTCTAGTCTCGGTTGGGTCGCTGGATTCTGTCCCGGTTGCTCCTCTTCCAGTCCAGCTCTCAGCTGTGGCCTGGGAGTGCAGTGGAGGATGGCCCAGATGCTTGGGCCTTGCACCCGCATGGGAGATCAGGAGAAGCACCTGGCTCCTGGCTTTGGATCAGCGCCGGCCACAGTGGCCATGGCGGGGGCGGGGGGGGGGGGGCGGTGAACCAACGGAAAAAGGAAAACCTTTCTCTCTGTCTCTCTCACTGTCCACTCTGCCTGTCAAAAATAAAAATAAAAAAGTATATAGAATAAATGTGGCTAATTTAGTTTTGATACTCAAAAATTTGGTACCTGGAATGTGGAGTAACTATTATGTCATATCTCTAGGATTTACCTGTGCCTTTGTATAACAGCTGTTTGAAAAATGCAGTCAGCCTTTTTAAGAATGTTTAGAGTAACATAACTGAAACGTCATCAGTTATCCTTGCAAATGCAATCTGGTTTGAAATGAAAACAATAAAAAATATAAGTGGACAAAGTAAAAATATAGGACAGAACAATTAAAAGCCAATAGCTTCCCCTGTCTGACTTAATAACACTTGTAGCATGTGACAGAGATTGAGTATTCTTTCTTTTCAGATTGAACTGTATAATAATACTATAACCTCAGTTTAAAGGGGTTTTTGATTGTTTTTCTTCTTAAAAGTTGAAGTTAAATTCAGATATTAGGGAAAATAGTATGGAAATTCTTCAAAAAACTAAAAATAGAACTGCCATCCACTACTAGGTATATATCTAAGGAAAATTTAAGCAGTCTGTCAGAGACCTCTGTACTACTGTTTATTGCAGCACTATTCACAATAGCTAAGAAATGAAAACAATCTAAGTATCTATCCACTGATAAATCAAAAAAGAAAATGTGGAATATATGCACAATGGAATACAATTCAGCTATAAAAAGGTATGAAACCTTATCATTCACAACAGCATGGATGGGACTGGAGGTCATTTATGTTAAATGAAATAAGGCAAACACAGAAAGACAAGTATCATGATCTACTCATGTGGAGTCTCAAAAAAATAAATAAAAATGATGATCTCATAGAAGTTAAAAGTATAATGGTGATTACCAGAGACTAGGTAGGGAAACAGAGAGAGAGAGTTGGGAAAGGTTGATTAACAGATACTAAGTTGTAGCCAGATAGAAGTAAGTAGTTTAGGGCTTTATTAGATAATGTTAATATATCGTGTATTTCGTATTTAAAAAAAAGCTAGAAGATGGAATTTTAGATGTATTCACAATGAGAAAATGTTAAATGTTTCAGGAGAGAGTTAATGGACATTTTGCTTATTGAACAATGTACACATGTGGCAAAACATCAAATGGTACTTCACGAATATGTTCAGTTTTTGTATGTCAGAAACGTTTGCTTAAAAATTTTTAAGAATCAAAACTAGCATTAAAGGAACAAAAACAATTTCAGAACATTTTCTAAAAAAATAATGATAAAAGCAGAGAGAAAGTTCTAGAGTACAACATTATATTTGTCTAGCATGAAGATTAAAGTTGGGGCCAGCATAGTGGTACAATGGGTTAAGCCACCACCTGCAACACTAGTATCCCATATGGATACAGGTTCAAGTCCCTGCTGCTCTACTTCCAGAGCAGTGCCCTGCTAATGTGCCTAGGAAAGCAGTAGAAAATGACCCAAGTGCTTGGGCCCCAGATACCCATGTGGGAGACCGAGACAGAGTTCCAGGCTCCTGACTTTGTCTTGGCCCAGTGGCAATTTGGGAAGTGAAGTAGAGGATGGAAAATCTCAATGCCTCTTTCTCTAACTCTTGCCTTTCAATAAATTTTTTTTTAGAATGAAGATTCAAGTTTTCATTCTGCCTACAGCAATTTAACAATCTGTATTGTTTGTAAACACAGGTGCATAATAAAAAACTTGGTGACAATGAAAATAGCAAAAAAAAATTATAAACAATTTCCTTTTTATTTCTGTAAAAGTACCATTTTAGATAATCCAGTTTTTATTTGTCTTTATCCAGTGTAGTGCCAAATCAAATGAATATAATTTGAGAATTTTTCTCTCCCTGGAATAAAATATAAAGTGTTTATGTTGTTACTTATTGCAGGCCTTCCTCATTCTTCCATTAATTGTTTCAAATACATTTACTTAGTTAGTTCCGCATGTATTTAGGCACTGTGCTACAACTAAAGTAGTAAAAAGAATGTGTGGAAGCCAGAGAAAAAGTCATTACTGCCCTGTAGCCATACCATATGACCTTATTATTAGCACAATTCGGTGTGCTGAAATGGGATATGTTCACTGACTTTGTTTTGGAAATATACTTTCAGGGTGGTATAAATAATCGTTTCTTGATTCTTTTCTGTTTTTAAACTATGATCTTTAACTCCATACATACTGTTTAGTGGATTCTAATTCGGTTCTACTACACTTGACATATTCACTCCTCCAGTTATAGAAACCTAGACTGTTTCCAAAGAATTTCTTATCATCCCAGATGAAGTTTCAGAGGATATCCTCATAAATGTTGATCTCACAGAGAATTTCTTTACTACATATGACCAGACTAGATTGCTGGATCATAAGATGCACAAATTACTAATTTGGTTATGTAGTACTTTGAGATTGCTCTTCAGAACGATGACCCTAGTATATAATTCCATTCCATCAGCAGTGCCAGTACCTAAAGAGAACCCAAAAACACTTGGCATTGATATTAGGATTGGCCCCCTAAAATACGATATCAGAATATGGCCCCCTAAGAGTTCCCCAATTGTCCCATCTGGGGTGCCATATGATATCACTGTATGCTTATTAATAAATTCCCAATATTAATAAGCCCTGTGGGTTCTTGCCTAATATTCAGAGAATTCTGAATACCGGCATAAATGAATGAGGCAGTATGGTACATTTTTAAGCTTTTATTCAGTGAGAGGAAGTGCATAGGAAAGTGAGAGCTTTATCTGAAAGAGAGGGATAAATCTGGGTTCATACCGAGTACCAGGAACCAGCCACACAGAGGAGCATCTAAGCCAGGAAGCATGAGGCAGGTGGCCCAAAGGCCATGTGTGCTAGAAACAAAGGGCTGTGCGGACCCTGCACTGGCAAAAAGCCAAGGAAAGGAAAGAAAGAGAGAGAAAGAGACCAGAACACAGTGCCCCAGGCTTTTAATCCACTTCCAAAGGGGAGTGGTTAATTAACCTGACTGGCCAGTGGGTGCTCAAGTATGGCCAGGTAGGGTCATGAGGTCACACAGGGGCATAGTGAAGGCATGGTCTTCCAGTTCACAAACCTAATCAGTTTTAACCTGTATGCCTGCCTACAGCATTATCCAGCTTTGTAATTTTTATCAAACTGAAAGCATAACATGATCATGTGGTTAATGCCTCTGAATTTTCTCTTCTGCAAATTAAGGATTTTTTGCTTTACCTATTTCTTTACTGAAGTTGCTACATTTTAAAAATTGATTAGTAGTTCATCTTGTCCTTGATATTATACAGAAGTTTTCAATGTAAACTTTTCCCTCTGAAGTTTTGATTTTTGGCTGTGAAGTAAACTGATAACAGATGGGGGGGGCGGGGGAGACAGATTATATGCTAAACAGGGGAATCACACATAGTTTGAAACTCAACAGATGGATAAGATAGTTGTAGCTGATAGAGAGGTAAACAGGGGCTTGGACGCCTGGTGGATTTGGAGGGATAGAGCACAGGCTATAGAAGGTTGGAAGGAGGGGCACCGTCAGCAAAGGCTGTCTTGCTCTGCAGATTGTCTCCTAGGAGACAGCCAATTGAGATAATCTCTGTCAAGACTACAGGTCAAACCCCAATCATTTTCTTAGGCCGAAAGGAGAATAAGGGGAATTGCTTGAAAATAGAAAATAACTAAAGAAAAAAACAAGAAAAGAAAAAAACCTCTGCCTAAATCTGCTCTCTACTAATGTAGTAGATGTAAATTTCTTTTACCAAAGGACAGCTTTTCAGAGCTATTCTGTTATCTGCAGAGGTCTGTAGTTTCTCTGAAACACCAATTATAAATATACCAAAGAAATATATTTGGGTTAGGATATTTTAATCACCCTCAATATCTTTAGTTCAATCCAGAAATGATTAATTTTGATGGGATTGAATTCCTGGATTTTGTGTATTTGTCTTATGCTTCATGCTTTTTTTATTTAATAAGTCTGTGCCTCAAATCATAGATATCCTCCTGTATCATTCGATTAACTGTATAGTTTTACTATCCCCATTTAGCTCTTTAACCCAGTTTGAGCTCTTCTTTACAAGTAGACTTATAAAAGCATACAGTTTTATTTTTCTTGAGATAATGAACCAGTTGTACTAACATTATACTCTAAATGCATCCATTTCCCTTGCATGTGTGCAAACTGTATCTACTGTTTTCTCAAATAGTAGATACCTCTCTTTCTCAGCTCTGTTTCATTGGACTATTTGGTAGGATTCAGAAGTCTGGAACTACATCTTGGTGTCACACATTGGGGTAGCAGCTGCCCAAGTACTTCAGCCATCATCCACTGGCCTCCCAGGCAAGGTAGCAAGAAGCAGGATAGTAAGAGGAACAGCTCAGATTCAAGTGGCACTCCAGTATAGGATGCTGGCATTACAGGCAGCAGTTTAACCTGCTGTGCAATATCACTTCTACTGATTAATTCTTAGATCCTTTATAGATTTGTAGGGGTTTTTTGGTTTGTTTGTTGTGAAATGTATTAAGGACAACAAAAGTATACACCATGTGAAAGTATTAGAAGAATTTTAAATATCAACATTTGTGCAGTTCCTAGAGTAGTACCTGGAAATCAGTGTGCACTATGCAAGTAACTACATTAAAATGAATGCTCATAGGTTAATGTCAATCCAGGAATCTTGTTGAGCTCTTTCATTAGCTGTAATAGTTTATATATTTGGTTTCTGTTTTTTTAATTAGATGACCATAACATCTGCAAATTAATAGTTTTATTGTCTTCCAATTCATTCATTCTTTTTTTTTTATAACATTGAATAAGACTTTCAATACTCTGTCAGTATAACTCATCATGGTCACCCTTAACTAATCTCACTTTTAAAAGGAAAATATCTCATTTCACTTAGGATAATATTTGCATAAAATCTGGGGGAGATAACTTTTACCAAGGTATGAAGTTCTCTTTCTAATTTGCTAAGAATGTTTTGTTTTTTAATGCCTTAAGAGGTGTTGATCAGGAGCTAAGGAAGGTTAAATATCCACAGCTGATAAAACTGTCTCCTTTTTCCTTTAGTTTTGATGACTTAAATTTTCTGAAACTGAGCTAATTCTTACTCTCCTAGGATAATCTCTACTTCATTATAATATTTTTTCTTTCTTGTTCTTTCTGATTCATCTCTAGATTAAGAATTTTTTACTGTCCTCATAAAAGGAACTGGTTGGCTTTCAACATTTTTTTCTTTCTTCTTGAACAGCTTATGTAAAGTTGGTCACATAACCACAATCTCTGGGAATCCCAGAAAGGTTCTAACATCTAGCAGCTGTACCACCAGGATGGGCCCCCTAAAACTAATCCCAGCCAGCACATTTGAAAGTTAAAAAATAATAATGCCTTTTATAGATGTTAGGAGTTTGGAGCATAAGAGGTCTGTCTGCATTTGCAGAAATAATTTTCTGGGCTAAAACTTCACACTTAAAACACACTTGACCAGTTCATACCAACAAAAGATAAAAATTGTCCAGACTCTCCTTCCCAATTTTATGATTATTCCTAACAGGAAAATCAGTCTTTGCTTATGAGATAGGGGAAAATTTATAAGTCTTCTTGGTCACCATCCATGCTCTTGAATAGCCTGCAGTTAGATGGATAATTATGTTACCCAGTGCTTTCAGGCTTTAATATCATGTCTCTAGTCTTCTCATTCACAGGTTAAGGCCACCCTTCCAGATAGTCCAACCACTAAGTCATCAGTTTCCAAGGGCGTTTGCATCACCTATGGAAAACATCGGATCTTTGCACACCAGATATCCTTGACAACTCATCTCATCACTCCCCTGCACACAAGTTTCTGTACCAACGGACAACCAAGGCAACTACCAAGCTTGCTTTTCACTACCAAGTAGCTAGAATATCACTGCCAACAAAACAGAGTGCACAAAGTATCTCTTCACATTATCACTAATAATTGAGATTGCACTAAGAAAATCAGCTTGCCTAAATGAGGACCCCTTCTCTTGTTGGTAGCCAGGATTCGAAGGAGATACACTGTAACCTGTGCCACTGGTAAGTGACTAACAAACACTTTTACCCACTGAACTGGTCCTGAGGACTGAGATATCTTCTTTGTAAGTGAAGAATATACAACATTATCTTGAAGAACTGCAGTTGTGTGGGCCACAGGCAGACTTTGTGTGCATAGTGGACTGAGAGAAACAAATTAATCTTGGTGAAAGGATTTTCCGTCTATTTTCTATTTGCCAATGTTAGTCAGTATTTTGCTGGCTTAGATTGTTGTCTTTTTCTGGTTCCTTGCTCTGTTTTATTCTAATGGGTCCCAGAAATCCATCTCCTGACCCCTTATCAGAATCAGAAAGTGAAGAAGAAGAAAATTTTAGCTACCTAAATGAGAACTCTGGGGAAGAGTGGGATTCCTCTGAAGAAGAGGACCCCATGGTACCCAACCTAACACCTCTTGAGAGTCTTGCCTGGCAGGTTAAGTGCCTTTTAAAATATTCTACAACTTGGAAACCTTTAAATCCTAATTCCTGGTTATATCACGCTAAACTCTTAGATCCAAGCACACCAGTCCATATACTTCGAGAGATAGGTCTAAGACTCTCTCATTGTTCCCACTGTGTCCCCAAACTGGAACCAATCCCTGAATGGCCCCCTCTGGCTTCTTGTGGAGTTCCACCTTTTCAAAAGCCCCTTATAAGTCCCAGCCGGCTGTCTAGAGATCGTGCTACTCTAAATGGAGCACTGCAATTTGCCACCAAACAGTTAAGCCGAACATTGAGTAGAGCCACTCCCATTCCTGAATACCTAAAACAGATCCCCAATTCATGTGTTTCTGGTTGTTGTTGTGGCTGGCTAACTAAAACTGTTAAAGAAACTACCAGAACTGAACCCATTAACACTACTTACTCCTACACTGACTTCCAAAAGGCAGTTAACAAACTCTTAACTGCATCCCTATAAAGATCCACCATTGGATACCTCTATGTTACTACGTAAGAAAGAGGTAAAAATTAATCATTAGACAGCCCACAGTTGAGAAACTCATGTTTTCTCAATCAACCTGTGCCATGTCATGGCAAGCCAAAGTAGTGCCATGTATTGAATGTGCCCGAGGTCTGTAATTCAACTACAGAAATATGCATGGTGAGCATACTCTGACAAATCCTATGGATAAAATGAGAACTTCGATGGAGAATTAGTCAAAAAAGATCATATTACAAAAGATAAGCTGAATATTCCTTATACTCAGGATTTACCTCCTCCGTAGTTTACTCTGCCTATGTGATGTACTTTAACTGGATACCTGATTTATTAACAGAAAGGAAAAAGACTTCCTTGTTTGTTACCCAACCATTAGAACAGCCATTGTGGAGAGCAAGAATTTTACTACCCTCAGCAAAGTGAACACACTGTGAAATTGAGTTCTAGTGAGGGAGGTGAATTAAATTGGATACCCAGAGGAAAATGATGGGAATATGTATTCTCCCCTGGCTTTTCAATAAGGTATACCTACATATGGATATATGTATATATACATATAGGTATACATTTCAGGGTTCCAATTTTTTGAGAGAGTATTCAGTTTCAAAACTAGCTACACTACTACAAACATATTGTGGAACCTGCTGTTGCCGTCATCATTCTGAATCATAGACTCCTCCATGTTTTTGGCTAAATTAGCCTGAAAGATCATCCCTTGGGATTAAACAGAAACCTGCTGTATAGAGAATGTTTCCCAAATCTTGTCATTCAGATGTTTGCCAAGAGCAAATAAAGCACATTCCAAAAGATTAATAGGAAAAGACTAAGAGAGCATTTATGCTTTCAGCGTTAAATGCTAATATATTGAAATGTCTTATCTATAGAACATTTCCTGGAGCAGTTTATGCACTTTCCACATCCATTGCAAATTTTTTTGAATCATAACTTTAAAGAAGTTTCCATTAGAAATCTCAGCTGACATCCTGAAGTTAAGAGCTACAACAGCATTGTTTTTCTAAATAGATTAGCTTTAGCTTTTCTTTTGGCTGAACAACAAAAAGAATAGGTACTCTTATATATGAGTCTTAGGAGTATTTATTTACTTGAATGAAAACAGAAATCAACACCCATAAAATGAAATGCACAAGACCACTGAATCTTTTCAGACACTCTGCAATAAAGAATGAAACCTGTGTGTGGTGCCGGTTGACTGGGAATCAAAAAACAGATTGCTAAAAGTATATAATATATCTTCTTTATTTTAGTTTTGCTTTTTCCTGTTCCCTGTAATTAATTGCTATATGCAAAGTAGTATAAAAGAAGTATTGATGGAATCAGAAATTCTTTAAATGTATAGCATCTTTAAGGAGAGAAGAATGTTTATACTGTAATAAACTTAATAATAAGATTTCTGCTGAGCCTCAGATGTCCTGTCTTAAGGAAAAAGAGGGGTATTGTAATAAGTAGAAAAAATATATTTGTTAGTGGAAATTACTGTCCTGAAACTATATCATATTGTTAGTATAACTGAATGTAACAGAAACTTCCTTTGTAGATGTTCTGTGAAATTGGTTTTAAAATGTTATAAGAACCTGTTGCTTTCTTTTTAAGCTGGGTAAGGGTGGGAGGAGGTAGTGAAGAAATCTAAAAATTAAAATGTTGATATTTATGTATCATAATACTCCTTTTCTGTGTGTGTGTATAAAAGTGCCTTGTTCATGACTGCATTTTTCTATTCACTCCAAAAGGAAGCCTTTCCCCAGCTTGGCAGCTGAATAAACCAACAGCTTTGTACATGCTGAATGGAGTATGGTCATTTGTCCTCAACAGATGAAACAAATCCTGCTTTGGTTAAGGCATATTGAACATTTGCAAAGTACTGAATAGGGTTAATAGATATGGTATCTATGTAGTATCTGATAAGAAGTGACTTGGTATCTTTAGAAAAGAAACACACTTAAAGAAAATGTCTCATATGCAGTCAAGACCTAAAGTTGGCCCATTTGTTTCTATATTTTACTCCCAGGTTGGACAAAATGATAGATACCTGAAATAATTCTTAAGCTATCTTTCTGTGTGTCATAGATGTGGGATTCAGGATGAATTTACTACTTTCACACTTTCCCTAAGTAGGCCACTGATAAATGCAGACACCATAATTAGGATAGAGAGACGAATTTATTTTGTTTGTAGCAGTAGTTACTGAAGAAGTGATGAAACAGAATTTCCAAAACAGTGAACATTAATGTCACTTACAGGTGTTTTTCTCCCTTGGTATGGATAGGCAGCCTTTTATTTGAAGCTGCCTGGATACCTTGAGCCTAGGATACCATCACTGTCTTCTAACCCCATCTGCTTCCTAAGAAAAGGAAAAAATTAACACATCCCAAAAGGAGGGCAGATGGTGGGGCCCATGTAGTTGATTTTCCTGCTGAGGTTCTTGCCACATTTATCTACCTTAAAAACTCTGTGATGAAAACAATGTTTTGTTATTAAATTGTTAAAGCAATTAGAGAACTTAGATGTCACTTAGATTGTTTTACTGATACATAAATTGTCTTCCATATCTAATAAATGGCTTTCCACTTTTGGCTCCAGTGTTTGAGAACTTGTGTCATTTGAAGTAACCCATTACTTTTAAATATCTTGTTAGAACTTTAGTTATTCATCCAATAATATAGAGAACTGCTAAGCACAGTCCAGAGACTGGAAATGCAAAACCATATACCAAACATACGCAATTTGTTTTAAACCTGTGAACTAATATTCATTACTCCATTTCTGCTGTCTAGGGTTACTTTATATGTGCTAAATTCAAAGAGTTAAAAGCTTGAAGTGTTTTTACTCAAATGGCTAGTGTTGATAGAAAAGGCCCAGAAACTCTGAAGTCTTTGTGCAGGCTTCTGGCTTGTTAGTCCATCAATGAACCAATATCTGTTGTGCTGCTGGAAACCGGAAGCTACAGTAGCTGGCATCTGCCACTGAGTAGTCTGCATTCGTTCACTAGCCTTGTCAAAAGGAAAATCTCGGATGTATGGTTGACTCTTCTAAACACAATTTAGTTAGTGGCTGTGTATTTGAGTCTGATAATTGTTTGCAGTTCCCAACCTCTTTCAGTTGGTAGCAACAGTGAGATTAAAGTTTTGGGAGTGAAACTAAGAAGAAGGAGGAATGAAACCACACTGACCTGACATTGGCTACCCATTTTCTGTGAGCTGGGAGAGCTATAACTAGGTCTTCAATGACATGTGGAAAGTGAATGCCTGGTTTAAAAAAAAAAAAAAAATTGTAGCAGGAAGATAGCATCAAGATTGTTTCTTCCAGTGTGAAGTCAAATTTATATTAGCAGTTTAGGATTGGATCATAAACATTAATTTGACAGAAATTTAGGCAGTTTATTTTGGAGATCGTGGCTGACACATGATATGAAAACTCCTGGGATCATTTGGGGAATAAAATACTACATAACCAGTAATATTTAGAAGGAGACTTAGAATCCTGGTCAACCTAATAAGATCTAAACTGAGTTCACAGTCCCTAACACAAACTGAGCTGATGAGCTATCAAATCAGATTGTAACAAATTGAATAAAGTAGTCTAAATGAGTGTTGCAGTTGGTAAAAGAAGGAAGTAGTAGTTATCTTCTTATTTAAAAGAAAATGATTATGTTTGGGTTAATTGCTAAGCTTATTTCTGGTAGTACCCTTCCATCTATGTTAGCTGTGAGGCCTGACATGCCAGGATATCAACTAATGTTTTTCAAGGTATTAATTAGGTAATGGTCCATTTGGAGCAACTTCATTGGGAGGTATCCAACAATTGGAATAGTCCAAGGTTGTAACCAACTTCCATAAAAAAAAAAAAAAAAAAAAAGACCCTACATTGGTTCTGCAGCTGTACCCTGAGTAATCAGAATTCTTAATAGAGTGGAGAAGTCTGGTGACATAGTTGAGTGGCCCACTTGAAAAACCTGAATTCCTGCTACCATTAATGTTGACTACAAACAATGCATTCCATGGGGACTTTGCATAAAGTGTATTACATGGTGTTGACCCCCACCCCCATTTTTATTTGGTAGTGAAGTATACTTTTTCAGTAGTTTGCATACTTTGGTCCAAGGCCCAGTTTTTTCTTTGAACCCAGATTATTTATTGTGTTCACATTCTACTTAGAATATTTTTTCTTTAAATGTGTTTGATTGCCAGGTTTAGCAAATTAAAATACATGACACCCAAATAAATCTGAATTTCAGATAATGAAACATGAAACATATACCCCAAGAAACTTGTCATTTATCTAAAATTCAAATTTAATTGGCTTACTATGTTTTACTTGGCAACCCTGTAAATGTGTTAGTAGCATTAATTAATCTTGGTTTGTAGTCAGTTGTTCCTGTGGAACAGTCTGACTGCATTATGTAATTTTTTTTACCTCTAAATATTTGGGAGTTTGGAAGGCTCACATATAGTTGACCCAGGGTTAAAACTTGTTGGGTGGTGGTGGGGAGGCCCAGTGGCATTATGAAATTTATTTATGAGAGATACATGATGTTTAGCTAAATTAATTACACAACCATTACAACATTTCCAGATACAAATTTTCAAAACACTCTCTCAATAATGAGTCCTTTGGATTGTTTGTTGTTTGTGTGTTTTAAGCAGCTACTTTTTCATTCTTTACTATGAAGAGAAACATTAAGAGTATAACTATTTTTTTTAATACCTGATAGGTAGAATATTTCTGGAAGCCATTCTTCATTGCAGAAAATGTCCACAAATTTGGAGCACCTATCTCTGCCTTGCAGAACCCCCAAAAGACTCAAGGATATGAAGACAAAAGATACCCTGGAAGGTGGGCATGAAGTGCTCTATATTGAAAACAAGGGAATTATTTGAAAGCTTATTTTAGCCCTCCTTTTGCTGAATCTTTCTCTAGCAAATAATAAAGGGTTATTCTCTGGAGAAACTGAGCCAAACAGAACTGGGAATCGGGCAGGATGGTGATAGTGATGTGCTATATTAAAGAGGGTGATTCAAAGAATATCAGTATTCCGAGTATTGTGGGCCTCTAGTCAACAAGGCTACAGAATCTAGCTGACTGAGCTCATTCATACTCAGTCTTTCTCACCCTACCCAACACAAAAATGAACAATGAGCAATGGAAAAAAAAAATGGCTTGATACTTAATTATTTGTTACAGTAAAACCTGGAGTCCGTAAGATCTGTTCATTCATGCACAGTTTTTAGTCGCTTGAAATCACTATATACTGGCCTTCAACAACCAGGCAGTCAACCAAATACTGCTACAGGATTTACTCGGCTCCCCACCCAGGAGACAGCGGCCTGAAACATTGCCCCATGCCAGCGAAGAGTACCTCATCGTCCCACGTCAGCAGGAAGTAGCTCTAAAGACAGATCATCGTCCCTCTACCCCTCCTGGACTTTTGGGACAAATGTAACCCCATACAAATCCTGCTTTATAAAAAACAAAAGGGGAGAATGTTAGGAAACTGGTGCAGTTTTAGCCAGGTGGCCGCATGGCCTAGCTACCTGAGCCAGGCTCCACCCCCATCCTAATGGGATTCACTGCTCCTGCTTCCCTGCCCGCCCTCAGGCAAAGTTTTAAAAGGGCCTGTTCCAGAGTGTTCTCTAGGTCCTTCTCTCCTGCACTCTCTTGGCTCCTCTCCTCCTCTCTGTCTCTCTTCTCCCTCCTCTCTGTCTCTCTCTCTTATAGTCTCCTTCTCTCTTTTTCCTTTGCCGCCCCTTTACTCCTGTCTGTAGGGTGTTCCCCCAATAAACCCTTTCCCTTAAAAAAAATAAAAAAACACTATATACTGATAACCAAGAATCATTTGAGGAAATTTGCAAATGAAGGTTGAACATGATATGTCCCAAGGAAGCTGTGATGGTCTCAGAAGTAGAATATATACATATATATATATATATGTATTTCCATGAAATAAGAACAGAGTGCTATTTTTTTAAAAAAAATCATAAAATAAGAGCTAATGGAAAAAAAGAGGGGGAACAACATTAAACATTCAGTAGATGAGAAATGAAATTTCAAAAAGGATGAAAATGCTGAGATGAAAGGTAGACAAAAAAAAAAAAAAAAAAACTAGAATAACAGAATGAAATGCAACATTTGGTTGGTAAGAGTTCCAAAAGCACAGAGACAGAATGTGAAGGATGTGGGAGTCCATTTTATGAAATTTTAGGACATTATTCCCCTAAATTAAAATGATCCACCAAGTGCCCAGCACAATGAATTTTTAAAAATAAAAGTGTGACAACATATTTCAGCATGACAGGGTTACAGATCCTAAAAGCTTCCAAATGGGAGTTGTGGGAGTCAGGGAACAGGTTACATGAAAAAAAGGATATTTTCAGAACAGCATTTAGGCTTATTGGTAGCAATACCAGATGCTGGGAAGCTAAGAAACCAAGGCCTTTAAATTTAAAAAGGAGAAAGGTTTTCAGCCTAGAATTCAGTACCCAGATATCTGAGGGTGGGACTAAATTAAAGGCATCTTTGCTTTCATGGTCTCAAAATTTTATCTTACCATCTTCCCTTTATTAGGAAGCCACTGGAGGATATGCTTTGCCAAAACAAGGGAGTAATCCAAATAAGAACTCATGGGATCCTGAAACTGTAATATCTCACAAAGGAGATGTAAGAATGAAAGTCCCAGGATGACCACTACATCCAGTAAGTAGTATGAGGGTTCCAGGAAGTATTTCTCTAGGAAAATATGGAGACTAGAACAAGGAGTAACACAGATCGTGGGACTTTGGGGAAAAGAAAGAGAAAGACAAGTATTTGGAGAACTAGGTTAATGATAAAATGAGGCAATTAGAAGTACACCAAATACACATTTTGGATGTGTGTCACCGTGTCACAAGAATGAAACTGAAGTTTTATTTTACTCTTAAGGAGTAATTATAAATTTAGTAACCAAATTTTAGAGGTTTGACATTTAAAATGTAGTAAAATTGCAGCACTGTTAGCTGTTAGGTTGGTCCTTCAAACATCATATTATACAATTACAATAAATGCTCACCTTTAATAAGATGGGCACTACAGAAGATGTGTTCAGAAAATTAAAAGGGTTCCATAAACTTGTTCTGGAAAAGAAACTTTGTGCCTTGCTTAGGAAAATCTCAGAAAATTGTTTTTTTTAAAGATTTATTTATTTATTTGCAAGTCAGAGTTACACAGAGAGAGGAGAGGCAGAGAGAGAGAAAGGTCTTCTATCCAATGGTTCAATCCCCAATTGGCCACAACAGCCGGAGCTGCGCTGATCCGAAGCCAGGAGCTTCTTCTGGGTCTCCCACGTGAGTGCAGGGGCCCAAGGACTTGGGCCATCTTCTACTGCTTCCGAGGCCATAGCAGAGAGCTGGATGGGAAGTGGAACAGCTGGGACTCGAACTGGCACCCATATGGGACGACGGTGCTCCAGGCCAGGACATTAACCAGCTGCGCTACCGCGTCAGCCCCCCAAAAAATGTTTTGAGATCCAGAGGATAAATAATCTTTCTCTCTCTCCCTCTCTCTGTTATTCTTCCTTTCAAATAAATAAATGTTCTTTTAAAATTCATATCAAGATGTATACACCAGGCTTGCATTGTGGCAAAATAAGCTAACCTTCCACCTACATGGCCGGAATCCCATATGGACACCAGCTCAAGTCCTGGCTGCTCTACTTCCTATACAGCTCCCTGTTAATGTGCCTGGGAAAGCAGTGGAGGATGGCCAAAATCCTTGGGTCCCTGCACCCATGGGGAAGTCCTGGCTTCAGCCTGGCCCAGCCCTAGCTCTTGCAGTCATTTGGGGAGTGAATCAGTAGATGGAAGATTGGGGTGTGTGTGTGTGTGTCTCCCTCTCTCTTTGTAACTCTGCCTTTCGAATAAATAAAATAAACCTTTTTTAAAAAGGTGTATATACTCAGATCAAACTACTAAATTCTGATTCCCCAGTACCTCTTCCCAACTTATATCCCCCGGAAATACCTACTCTATAGTTTTCCTTGTTCTCAAATTTCATGTGAATGGGATCATATAGTAAGTATTGTTTTATGCCTGGTTTCTTTCACCAGTGTACTGGTTTATTTCCTTTTTACTGCTATAAACAATTCCATTATACAGAATACCATAATTTGAGTTCTTTGCATTTTTGGCTATTACCAACAAAGCTGCAATAAATATTCTTTGATTTTTGCGAATATGTACAGTCATTCTTGAGTTTATACTTTGGAGTCAAGTTGTAGTGTTACAGTGTAGTTCCATTTTAATTTTAGTAAAACTACAAACACTTTCCAAAGTTATTGTATCATTTTACATTTATCCACATCATTGTATGGAAGTTCTAGCTGCTCCTTATCTTTACAAACACCTGGGATCGTCAGTCCTTTTACTCTGATCCATTCTATTGCTGTGTATTGGTATCTCATTGTGGCTTTGATTTACATTTCTGGGATTAATGATGCTAAGCATGTTTTCATTTGTTTATTTTTCTTTCAGATACCACTTTTGAAAGTAATTTTTCGGCCGGCGCTGCAGCTCACTAGGCTAATCCTCCGCCTTGCGGCGCCGGCACACCAGGTTCTAGTCCCGGTCAGGGCGCCGGATTCTGTCCCGATTGCCCCTCTTCCAGGCCAGCTCTCTGCTGTGGCCAGGGAGTGCAGTGGAGGATGGTCCAAGTCCTTGGGCCCTGCACCCGCATGGGAGACCAGGATAAGTACCTGGCTCCTGCCTTCGGATCAGCACAGTGCGCTGGCCGCAGCGCACCAGCCGCGACAGCCATTGGAGGGTGAACCAATGGCAAAGGAAGACCTTTCTCTCTGTCTCTCTCTCTCACTGTCCACTCTGCCTATCAAAAAATAAAAAAAAAAAAATAAATAAATAAATAAATAAAAAATAAAAAAAGAAAGTAATTGCTCAATCTTCTGCCCACTTGTCAATTAGATTATCTTTTTTCTTATTGATTTGTAAGATTTTTTTTCACTTATTTTAGAGGTAGAAAGGGACAGACAAAAGAAAGGGCTCCCATCATCTGCTGGTTCACTCTCACAATGCTCCCAAGGGCTAGGGTTGAATTGGTCTTGAAGCCAGAAGCCAGGAACAAAATCCATGTTTCCCAAGTGAGTAGCAGGAACCCATTTACTTGAGCCATCACTGCTGCCTGTAGTAACAATAAGCTGGAGCCAGGAACCAGAGTCTGGTATTCCAATACAGAATGTGGACATCTTAACTGCTAGGACAAACATCTGCCCCAGGAATCCTTTATATACACTGTGTATTATATGCTTGTCAGAAATATGTGTTATGAATATCTGCTGCTCTTGTATGCCTTATGTTTTCACTTTCTTAATGATATATATACTTTGTAAAGTAGTTTTTAATTTTGAGGAGATCCATTTCATCAGGTCTTTTTGTATTATGGTTAGTGCTTTAGCAAATCTTTACTAACTTAAATGTTATGAAGATATTCTCTGATATTATTTTTAGAAGATTTACAGCTTTAGCTTTCATAGTTAAGTCACATTTTCAGACTTGATTAATGAGAACAGAATATTTTAGATATCTCATTTTCCTCTGGTACTTTCTCCTTTTCTTCATACTCTACATTCTTTATCCAATTATTTATAATATAAGGAAAAGATAAATTAATTATGGTTTTACAATTTTCAGATTGCCAGCATTGTGAGGAATTTATCCTATAAAATCAGATACATCAAGATCAATTTACTAGCTTTATAAAATTGTGTACCTAGCCTGCCCCAGCTTTAATTTCCTAATCTGTAGAATGAGAATAACAAGTACCTTACAGGAGGCAAGTATAGGTGTGAAGGGTTCACACAGTACCCAAAGCCCATTGGTGGTCCAATAAATGTTCTTACACCCCCACATTTCGTACAGAGCTTAATTCTTTAAAAAAAAAAAAAAAGATTTATTTTTTATTTGAAAGAGTTACAGAGAGAGGTCGAGACAGAGAGAGAGGTCTTCCAACCACTGTTTCACTCCCCAAATGGCTGCAACAGCTAGACCTGAGCCCATCTGAAGCCAGGAGCCAGGAGCTTCATCTGGGTCTCCAACGTGTGTGCAGGGACTCAAGGATTTGGGCCATCTTCCACTACTTTCCTAGGTGCATTAGCAGGGAGCTGGATCGGAAGTAGAGCAGCGGGACCCGAACTGGCATGCATATGGGATGCCCGCATTGCAAGCCAGGGCTTTAAGCCGCTGTGCCACAGCACCGGCCCCCAGAGCTTAATTCTTTCCTGCCTTCTATTCATTTCTGATAGTATAAAGGAACACAATAATCACAATCCTGGAAAATCCTAGGAGCTGCAGAGGACTCTTTCCAACACAGGCTAGATCATGGTACTATGATTACAGTAGCTATCTTCCAAGAAGCTGATATGGGAATCTGATTTTCCCACTGTCTTCTATTATAAAGTTAAGAGTAAAATGTATCCTACTGGAAAATATTTTGGCCCCAGACTTAATAAAATCATATTTAAAGAACTAAAACTTGAGATTAGCCTGCAGTTTTACTAAACTTTAGTGTGAATGAGATCATCCAGAGTAGTGGTTCTCAATTTGAAATCTACTAAACATCACCTTTAAAAATTTTTTTATTTATTTATTTGAGTTGCTGAGTTACAGAGACAGAGAGTGAGAGAGAGAGGTCTTCTATCCACTGGTTCACTTTTCAAATGGCCCCAGTGGCCACAGCTGGGCCGATCCAAAGCCAGGAGCCAGGAGCTTCCTCCAGGCCTTGCACGTGGATGCAGGGACCCAAGCACTTGGGCCATCTTCCAATGCTTTCCCATGCTATCAGCATGGAGCTGGATTGAAAATGGAGCAGCTGGGACTCAAACCGGTGCCCATATGGGATGCTTGCACCACAGGCGGAGGCTTAGCCTACTACATCACAGCACCAGCCTCGAACATCACCTTTTTTATAATATCAATGTTGCTATTTTGAAATTCATAGATAATATGCTTTATTTACACATTTTTTAAATTGGCTTAATTTCTTAATAGTAATGTAAAGGAAAAATGAAAGGGAAGTTATTGCAATTAAATAACATGTTTTCAATATGTAAATGCTCTAGTGCAATGAGCTATCACTTAGTACTCAAATGCATGCATGTGTAAGTAGACTCACCATGGATGTGGCAGCTACAAGTCTGTTGTAGTGACAGTCAAATACCATGAGCCACTTGGTCACTGATGATGTGATTTTCCAAGGTGGTGAACAACTTTTGGTAAAGTTCTGGACCAAAAGGCTAATTTTCCTCTAGCTTGCAATGATTGAATTCATATAAAATTTAGTGTGTATCAAGTCCCTAATACTCTATACAATGTGGAATTAAAATGTGAATTCCTATCCCCCACCCACCCCAAGATTTTGACTAAAGGGATGTAAAAGTCCCAAGAATCTCTTGAGGTGATTCTGTTTTAGGCCTTCTGTTTTCTGAAGAAACTGGGGTGGGGAGAAGGGAGGTTAAACTAGAAACCAAAAGCTCAGGTTGATGATTCTTATCCAGTGTAGTGGAAGAAAAATAAGGAATCTAGAATAGGAATATCTCAGTTTAAAACACAGTTCTGCTACTTGTAATTGCCTTAGTACGAATTTTCTTGGCCAATTCTACTCATTTACAAAATAAGTATTGCTACTTGCAGTATGGAGGGATGGGGCTGTGGTTTGTGGGACTCTTTGAAGTGTATTTGTTTTGTTTATGAAGATTAAAACCCTTTATATGGCAGTATGTAAGATAAAATATATTAATTATGCAATCTGCTTATTATGATAACAGTATTATTCACACCTTAAGAAAATTAGATCAGATTAGGATTAGGTCACCCCAAAGCCCACTGTTTGAAACCAGAAAGAAATCTAGCCCACTATACCCTCCCCTCCCCAAACAAACTAAAACAGAACCAGCTGAGAATCCAAACACCTAACAGGATGCTGGCTCCAGTGGGCCCAAGCCAGACCAGTAATGTGGATTGGACGTCACCTCACTTTCACTCGACTTAGACCGTCAGCTCCATCTGTTATGTTACTCAGGCCTCCAGCCTGTTTGCTTCCTCCTTCCCAACGGACACCTGCCATCCTCCTTTCTACCTCTGATGACTTTTTCTCTGGATTCTTACTGCTCCCAGCACCACGCTCTCTGCCTTCTTGTCCCAGATTTCGGTCACGTGCTCCCCTCTCAGCCCTCTGTTGGAGAATCTCTGGGAGTCCTCCAGCAGCGTCCAGGCTCCTCGCTAGGATGAGGGAAGGCGGACTCCCACTCCCAGGCACGCCGTGGGCTCCCGCAGCTCTGGCGCTGGCCCACACTGCGCCTGGGACCCCGGAACTCCTCGCATCCTGTTGACTAGCTCTACGCAGCGACCCCCACCTCCGCCTTCCGCCTCACACTTTGAGGCTCCGTTCGTGGTGCTGGCTCCTTTGCCGGCAGTCCCCAGTATCCCCCTGCACACCACGAGGGGACCTCCCTTGACCACTCCAGCTGCCCGAAACCAGGTCGCCTTTCTTCCTTGGCCTGCGATGCCCACATCAGGCAGTCTGGAGCCTTGCACCACGCACGTGTCCACAAGCACTAAGCGCGGCCAACACCTCCCCCGCCCGCACGGCTGGGAGCTCCTCGCCAAGGAAGCTCTTCCCTTGCAGGCGAAACCCGCACCTGTCCTAGCGCGGCGCGCGGATCGCGATCCGCTCGTGCAAGGCGCTGGCGCCTAGCTGCAGGGTGCGGGTGCCCGCAGAGCCAGCTGGCAGGAGAGCGAGCTCGAGAGAAGGGAGGGTGGACACCTCCGACAAGCAGAAGCCACGCGGCGGTGCTGGCGGCGGGACTGCAGTGCCATCTTCCCCCGAGAAAGCCCACACGCTCACACGCCCGCGCACGCACGTGCACACACGGTGGGCAGGGAGAACACAAGCGAGAGCCTCTGAGTGCTGGGCGCGTTTTACTGATGGCTTCTGCCCTCAACAGCAAAATTCACCCGCCCGGGACTTCCCCAGGCTCCAAAGCCGACTCTAGCTGTGGCCCCGGCTGGAGAATGGACTGTGATCCCGAGATGCATGTGAAAATGTGCAAGAAGATTGCCCAGCTTACCAAGGTAAGGCGGGGCGCTGCGGGCTGGCGAGCGCGCCTGGGGTCTCGGAGCTGGGGAGGGAGTGCAGACGCGCCTCCCCAGTAGATTCGGGCATGATCCGGGCAGAAACTTTGCCTTGGAGTCCAACCGGGAAAGGAAGTCGTCCTAAAGCTGGGTGTCTTGATCTTTCCGAGGCACAATTCTAAAGCAGCAGAGACGAGACACGGGATCCTTGCCAAGGAAACTCCCGCAGCCTGCTTGCTGAGCAGGTGGTCTTTGCTTTTTACTAGGCGGGAATGTGAGTCGTGTTTGCGTGTGTCTGTGTCTGTGTCTGTGTTGTGTTTTCCTTTACCTGCTTTTCCCTAGGTGGGAATGTGATTCGTGTTTTTGCGTGTGTGTGTGTGTGTGTGTGTGTGGTGGTGTGGTGGTGGTTTCCTTTACCAGCTCTGCTCCAGGGATCGTGCCTGGAATGTTGTGATTTCATTCAACGCCATACTTCACAGTTGGGGAGGTCATGTGGACTCTATTTAAACACTTAATTCGTTTATTCCTCCATTGTACAAATATTTGAGTCATTTATTGAGTGCCAGCAGCTCGCAGTGGCAGGCTACTCAACCTGGAAGGCAGCCCAAGGGACTTACTATCTAACTAGGTGCAGTTGTGTGTAGGACCATCAGTGGAGAAGAGCACAATTCACCGTGTAATTATGGGACTAGAAAAGACCTTGAGAGGTCAGCCAGCCCTTTGCTCTCCCTCTTCCTAGGGCCCTGGCTACACCGCCCAGACTGTGCCTTCCTCTTAAGGTCCAGTAGGAAGAACCACCAGTGCTCTTTGTTAACCCTCTGCAGCTTCCCAATTAGGAAGCTCCTTGTCATTGTTCCCTCCTGTGTCTTGTCTGTAGGAGAGCATCCTCCTTGTCTTCTACGCATAAGGCTTCAAATGGAGGAATTTAATGATTTGCTTTGGGGTTTCCTGTCTGTCTCATAAAAAACTCCAGATACCAGTCCTGCCAATGGGAGGTCAGGTTCAGGTTCTGGTTCTGTCCAACAAGTGTATAGAATATACTGTTTCTTCACTGTCTCCCTGTCACTTCCCACCTTCACTGTTGTGTGTGTGTGTGTGTGTGTGTGTGTGTGTGTGTGAAGGGGAAGGATCACAGGCATTCCTGCTTCCCCTTCCCTCCCTATTTGCCAGAGGAATAAAACACAGAGGCTTGCAATTGAACACTAAGAGCTGCCTTCTGCCTATCTCATTAACTTCTCCACATGCTTTGCATATGAGGCTGTCTCCAAACCATGATCTCTTAGCCAAGGGCTGAAAAAGGGACATGAAGATAACCCCTTGGATGGACACCTTGGCAAGGACAGCAGGCACTATTGATCTAACCAAGGAAAGCATTTGGCACAGTACAAGACATCTTCTCTGAAAGAATATGATATACTTTTGGAGAAATGAGAAACAAGGTTTAAAATATTGAGATAAAAATAGATATTTCCACATCATCAATTGCTAAATTAGGTCCTTCAAATGATGAGTGCTGTAGAAGCAGAAACACATGGGCAAGAACAGTTTAGGGAAGATTTTATGAAATCAATGATACTTGAATTCATTGTGAAGTTATGGAGAGCCTGCTATGTGCTAGGCAGTGTGCTGAATATCGATGGCATAAAAAATTGTGTTCTTTTTCTATTTGACAGGTAGAGTTATAGACAGTGAGAGAGAGAGAGAGAGAGACAGAGAGAAAGATCTTCCTTCCGTTGGTTCACTCCCCAAATGGCCGCTACAGCCAGTGCTGTGCCGATCCAAAGCCAGGAGCCAGGTGCTTCCTCCTGATCTCCCATGTGGTGCAGGGGCCCAAGCACTTGGGCCATCCTCCACTGCCCTCCCAGGCCACAGCAGAGAGCTGGACTGGAAGAGGAGCAACCAGAACTAGAACCGGCGCCCATATGGGATGCCAGCACCATAGGCGGAAGATTAACCAAGTGAGCCATGGCGCCAGCCCCAGCATAAAAAATTTGTAAGACATGGCACTTACCCTGTGATATAACAAAAACAGATGATTTCAATATAATGTGGTAATCATTCCACTCATTAACATTAATACAGCACCTATTAGGTGCCAAGCAGTGAAAATACAGCAACATAGAAGGCAAACATGTTCCCTGACACATAGTTGAAAGTGTTTCTTAAAATATATCCTGCATTAGAAATAAAAGTTGGTTCTTACCATGTGATACCTCTCCTTGCCATTTTTCATGCCTAGTACTGAAATTAGAAATTTTTAATATTTTTTAAACATTTATCTTTTAGGAATTTATATTTGTTGTTTTGTTTGTTTTTATTTACTTGAAAGGTGGAGTGACAGGGGAGAGAGATCTTTTTTTTTCTCTTAAGACTGTTTTATTTATTTATTTGAAAGGCAGAATGACAGAGAGAGTGAGTGAGATCTTCCATCCACTGTTTCACTCTCCAGATGGCCACAACAGCTGGAGCTGGGCATATCTGAAGCCAGGATCCAGGAGCTACTGCTGGGTCTCCCACATGGGTGCATGGTCTCTAGCACTTAGGCCATTTTCTGCTGCTTTCCCAGGCACATTAGCAGGGAATGGGACTGGAATTGGAGCAGCTGAGACTCAAACTCATGCCCATGCGGATGCCGGTACCACAAGCAGCCGTTAAGCCTATTATGCCACAGCACCAGCACCAGAAATTTTTTATATTGATATTGATGCGTCAACTTTATTTTAGCTACTGTTTGTACCTCACACATTTTCTACATATTTTTAATTTATGTATTTTATTTTATTTGTATCTTTTACATGTGAATTTAACCTGTGTGCATTTAATGTGATTACTAACATATTTGGGCTTATCATTCCATTATATTTTGTATTTTTCACTTACTATTCTTTCTCCTTCCTTTCACTCTATTTTTTTTTTTTGCCTTCTATTAAATTAGGAAGGTGACCTATATTACATTGTTTTAGGCTTTCTTTCTACAAAATATCTTGACATACTTTACCCATTTCCCATCTTGTCACTACTGCCTAGAGTTTTTCATGTTAAAATTTCAAAATAGTTTTTATAGTTAAAAGTTAATTAAATTCACTGATATCAGCTTCTCTGATCACGTTTTTCCTAAATCCAAAGAATTCTAATTGAGTTCACTTTTCTTTTGCCTGAAGTATATCCTATAATATTTCTTTATATAGAGATCTTAGTGAGAAAGTGAATTCGTTGTATATTTGAAAATGTCTATTTTGCTGTGACTGTTGAATGATACCTTGGGTATAAAATCCTAGTAAATAGTTATTTTCCCACAGCTCACTGTTAGAGTCTCCATTGTTTTTGGCTGCTAATTGTTGCTGGTTAAAAATTCTGCCAGTCTAGTTTTTATTCCTTTGTAAACAATTTGCCTTTTCTCTGTGATAGCATTTCAGGGTTTTTGTTTATTTTTAATGTTTAGCAATTTCACTAGTATTGCCTTAGTTTAACTTTTATCTTCTGCAAAAATAGGAGAGTACTTTCTGTTAAGGACTTGTGTGCTTCTTTAATTCTGGAAGGTTATCAGTGATTTTCTTGTAAATGCTGTTCCTGACCATTGCCTCCATTCTCTTTGCTGGAACTGCCATTAGGTGAATGGGAAAGCATTTCCATTTATATCCATTTATATAAAAAAGTTGTTTTTATTTTTTTTGACTGTTGGATTTTGGTGAATCCCCAAATCCTGTCGTCCTATTTGCCAGTCTTGTAAATAATTTATCTAGTCCAGAATTGTCACTGCCTGCTAAGTATTAGAATTTTTTTTGTTTTTTTGTTTTTTTGTTTTTTTTTTTTTTGACAGGCAGAGTGGACAGTGAGAGAGAGAGAGACAGAGAGAAAGGTCTTCCTTTGCCGTTGGTTCACCCTCCAATGGCCGCCGCGGCCAGCGCGCTGCAACCAGCGCACCGCGCCGATCCGATGGCAGGAGCCAGGTACTTCTCCTGGTCTCCCATGGGGTGCAGGGCCCAAGGATTTGGGCCATCCTCCACTGCACTCCCTGGCCACAGCAGAGAGCTGGCCTGGAAGAGGGGCAACCAGGACAGAATCCGGCGCCCCGACTGGGACTAGAACCTGGTGTGCCGGCGCCGCAAGGCGGAGGATTAGCCTAGTGAGCCACGGCGCCGGCCAGTATTAGAATTTAAACAATTATATTTTCATTTCTAAGATTGCTCTTCCTTTTTCCTTTCTGCCCCATTTTGGATAATAATTTCTGGATTAGTTTTTATAGCCTTATTAAGATATAATTTACATATTTACCCATTTTAAGTGTGCAATTCAATATTTTTTAGTAAATTTACAGAATCATAGAACAATAACCATAATCCAGACATAGGACAATTCTATCACCAAAAAAAAAAAAAAAACTTGTTCCCTGTGTCCATTTGTAGTCAGTCCTTCTTCTACTCCAAACTCTAGGCAACAATTAATCTACTTTTTAAAAATATTTAAATCTATTTGTTTAAGAGGGAGAAAAGGTGAGTGAGTGCTCCCATCTACTGGTTGGTTCACTCCCCAAGTGCCTGCTATGGCCTCTGTGTGGGACTGAAGCCAGAAGGCCAGAAACTCAATCTGTGTCCCACATGGGTAACAGGAATCCAATCACTTCTGCCTCCTAAGTCAGTATTAGCAAGAAGCTGGCGTCTGGAGTGGAGCCAGGTACCAAATTTAGACACTCCAATATGGGATGTGGACTTCTTACACACTGGGTCAACATCCACACCAAGCTTTCAGTCCTGAAGGCATCAGGCAAGTTTTTCCCAACCCAGTTCTTTTGCCTGTCTAATTCTCTCTATTTTTGCATCCTCCTGGAAATCTCTATCTGATTTTTTTTTCTTTTAAAACTCTCTCTATATTACCTCATCCCCAGGAGAGGTGAAATCTCTCATACCCAGGGATTCCCCAATCCCAATGTTGAAAGAGGAATGAAATGTCTTGCCCAAATACAAGTCTTAATGAAGACCCTTTTTTTATTAAAACAAGAA